CTTTTTAGTATGTCAATAAACATTAGTTCTGTCTTAGTACTCTTAGGCCCACTGTACAAAAGGAGTTCGTCTTTCCTTCTTTCCTCTTTTCAAACGCCTAGTTGTGCTTCAATTTGGGTGTGATGGTATGGGGTGTAGTGGGTGACGGTATGGGGTACATACCATGACAGAAAACCCGACACTTGACGGTATGGGATACATGTCAGGACATGCGTCAAGTCTCGGTTAGGGGTCTTCTTTGTACACTATCTGACTAAAATCTTCACCCCACACCTACAGGAAAGGCTGGCCTCTCAACAAAACGAAATTTTGGGTCGATGTTTTTGAAAGAGCCGAAGTTATGGTAATACAAAAGTTCACTTCCGGAAATAGTCATCACAAAACACTAAGGTGACGGTATGCCGTACATAGGCTCTAGATCTAGACTCTAACTCTCAATTCAGAGTCGCAATATATAATAATTTTGGTAGATCTAATCTAGATCTAGAAATCTAGTGTCAATTGCCCATTGCCACCGAGTGACGCGGTGGCAATTGACAAAAATTGACTTTTTGTCAATTGCCGCCGAGTAAATTGGAGCTCTTTTGCGTTTGTGGGTAGATCTAGCTTAGGGGGGGCTCTCGTGGCCTAGAGTTAGAGGTTAAGGTGTTGGCCTCTCATTCAAAGGTCCCGGGTTCGATTCCGGGTAGCGACCAAAAAAAATTTTCTTCTCTAAAATTGTCTCCTTTCACATCCTTTCCTGATCTCTAACAATGTTCTGTTTTCTGCTTTCATTTCCACTTTCTGCCCCCACCCCCTCACCTCCTTTGCCCCCTCCTCTGGGCTCCTGACTCTTTCTGCAGCCTTTCTACTGCTACTCCTTGGCTCCTCCTAACTGCTGTCTTTCTGCCACACTCCTGATCTTCTGGTAGGAAAGATCTACACCTAGAGTGGTGTCGCCGGTACGCGTGCACTTCGCGATTGTTGAACGTATTTTCCGCCATTTCCGGCTTTGTACTTTCATTTTTAGCTATTCCATTCAAGAAACTATTGACCTATAAAATGGTCTTGCTCATAGTCGCCAGATTTCTTAAACGTTGTGTGCCCAACAGTTTTTCCAACCTAGGGTGTTGTCTTCACTGAGCGTGCATTTCTTCTCAGTGCGTGCATGGGATTCTTCACTGAGCGTGCACCCAGATATACACGTTGAAAGCCAAAAAAAGAGGAATCTGATAACGTTATTGCATTAAATGACCACACAGGAAGATAACAAGTCACTTTAGAAGCAAAGTAAGGCAATTTTAATTAGAAACTAAACTAATTTAATTTAGGGGGTATAAACAGTTCAAATACATAGTGAAAAAAAATCAAACAGAATTTTTCACAACTAAAATCCACATTTCCCTACTCTTCATCACTCATTCCTCTGATCTTTCCATCTTTCACACAGTCCACATGCCACCATCCCGAAACCCGCATTACAACTTGGCATAGAACTCGATAAAAGGTCACGTGAAACACTCAAGGAAGGAGTAGGCACATTTTTTAAGCTAGGGGGCGCGCACAGTCTATTTGAACCAATCAGAGGCAAAAAGGTCATAAAAACTAGTTCACAGGTCAGCGTTGAATGTCAACTTGCCACAGCTGATAAAAACACTCTCGATGATCCCTTGTCGGCAAACGAGTGATGGAAGTAAACAAAAATGGTTGCTGCACACACTGACGCATTCAATCAAACGCAAAAACGCAATTTGAGGCTAAAAACAAAGGAAAACAAAAGTGCACGCACCGAGAAGGCGCACGCGCAGGGGCTACACCACTCTAGCCTTCTCGGACAAGGGCAAAAAATCTCGGAGGACCCGTGTGCAAGTTGCGCACGTTAAAGATCCCTTGGTGGTCTAAAATCGATAAGAGTAGGCTTCGGCCGCCACCCGGGCAAAATTCAAAATTTCCTACCAACGAAAAAGTATTAGGTGTGTCCCGCGCGCTCATATGACCTTATGCAGTTGCGAGCGCCGTAAAACCCTATACTAAACAAACAAACAAAGATCTAGCTTATTGTGCTCGGTGTTGTGCGTTCGCCTCTGTGTGTGTGTGTGTCTTTTCCTGACCCCCGTCCCCCGATTTTTGTTCCCCGATATAACGTGAATTTCTGCTTGAGTTTGTGTGCGTTTGTGACCTTCTAGGCCTACTTCTAGAATTGCCTGTGTTGGTTCTACACCAAAGTCAAAGTGTAGGCTAAGGCTAACCTAAATCTAGATCTAGATACGTCTCATTGAAAACACGCCAAGTTGGTACCGTAGCTCTAGACTAGATGCTCGTCCAATGAAATTAGTTGAGAACAAATTGACCCATTGGACACACATTATGTATAATGCTAAAGATAGTGTTGTTTTCAGACTTGGCGCCGCTTCACTAGGTGGCATTTAATGAATTTGACAAGAAGTCAATTTTTGTCAATCGGTGCCACCGCGTCACTCGGTGGCAATTGACGCTACCTATAATTTTTTGTCTAATCGGACTCGAGTTCGAATAGTCACTTCATTTACGGAAAGCTGGATCACAATGTTGTGTTTGTCCGATGGAAATATTAATATGATTTTTATATTTATAAAAAAATTGCGTCTGCGAGCAGGGTTGGTGATTTTTTGGATTTTTTAAATAAAAATTTTAAAAATCGATTTTTTAAATTTAAATCAGATTTTTTAAAATTTAAATCAGATTTTTTATAATTTTTTTTAAATGTCGACACAGTTTGGGATTTTTGGTGGCTAAAAGTATGTTCTTTTAGAGCAAAATGCATTGTCTTTATTTTAACTATGATTAATCTATGCAACTGCAATTTTAGAAAGCCTTAACATCTGCAATATCAGTGAATTATGGCTACAGACAAAAAATGAAGAAAATGTCAGTCTAAAAGGAAGGGGGGAGGGGTAATTATGCATAGATAAACTTGCATTTTATTACAGTGTGTGTGTGTGTGCGCGCGCGCTTGAGTTTGTCTAAAAAGAAAAAGAAAATGCTATTTTCAATTATGAAAAAAAGTAAATTGAATACTGTATTATTTTACTACTTACACTTACAGTGACAGGGGGGAAAGCAGACTTTTAAGCAATTTTAGTCTACTAAACCTTATATAAATATCTGTTTTATAAAACCAAGGAAAGGAATTCTGAATGTTTAAAGATGTAAAAACAGAATACCTTTTTTTTAAAGTGATTTAAATCACTGAGTTTTATTTTTAAAATCAAGTTGATTTCAGTTTTTTTTAAATCAACTGATTTAAATCGACCTGATTTAAATCAACCCAACCCTGGTTTTCAATTATGAAAAAAAAGTAAATTGAGAACTGTATTATTTTACCGTGACAGGGGGGAAGCAGACTTTTAAGCATGATTATATTAGTCTACTAAACCTTATATCTGTTTAATAAAACCAAGGAAAGGAATTCTGAATGTTTAAACATGTAAAAACTGAATACATTTTTTTGAAAAGTGATTTAAATCCCTGATTTTTATTTTAAAAATCAAGTTGATTAAAATATTTAAAAAATCAACTGATTTAAATCAACCCAGCTCTGATTTCAATTATGGAAAAAAAAGTAAATTGAATACTGTATTATTTTACAGTGAAAGGGGGGAAAGCAAACTTTTAAGCATGATTATATTAGTCTACTAAACCTTATATCTGTTTTATGAAACCAAGGAAAGTAATTCTGAATGTTGAAATGTGTAAAAACTGAATAACAATTAATTTTTTTTAAAGTGATTTAAATCACTGATTTTTATTTAAAAAATCAAGTTGATTTAAATAAAAAAAATCAACTGATTTAAATCAACCCAACCCTGTCTGCGAGACTGCATCTTATCCTCACATGGGTCCTACACTGTGTATGATCAAATTTATTGAAATGGGGTGTATTATTCCCCTTTTTACAATGTGTGTGATTTGTCTTTGAACAGAATTGTGGATTATTATAGTTGTAATAGGGCAGAATAATAAATTAAGATTTGCTTGTTTGTGATAGCAGTAGTAATACTTTTGAAGTCTGACTAAGGGGGTCAGGGATAGATTATTAAATTCATTTTCCCATGTGTCTTTGAATTTAAGTCATTCTCATTCTTTTTATCTATTATCAGCCCTGCAGTGGCTATAGAGATGGGGGGGGGGGGGGGGGGGGTTCGATTTAATGAGCTCATTCTAGCATTCTCAGTTACTGGACATTGTATTTTGTATTAATGTTAGAGTTATAAAAGTTCTTTTCTCTCTAGCTCTATTGATCTTATTTATTCATTGAACTTATTAACCTTTTCAGGTGGAACTGGAAAGTGGAGAGGACGTAGCTCGGTGTCCAAGTTGTTCTCTCCTCATCAAAGTTATTTATGACCAGGTGAGTTGGTGATTTATGTTAAAGTGAGGTACTGCGATGGTGTCGTCGTTAGTAATTGCTTGTGTTTTATGCCCCCATTGACACAATCTAGATCATCCTTGAGGCTGACCTCTTACTCTTATGGAATATGATGTTTGCTTTCTCTTATGATATTATACAAAGTAACTTATAAATTCATGCTATAGGCTATAGTTTAATGTTTGTTTTTCTTTAGACGAATGATTCCCTCTACCCGGCTTTCATTGTAACCTTGATTTTCAGGAAATGAAGAACCAGCTTGAAAATAGTTACCATCTAGCCCATTTTCTGGTCCAGAGGAAGACACAGTATTTCTTACGTAACTTGGTAGCCTTTTTTAAGTGGGTTTCTGCCATTGGATTTTTTGGCCACTGAAGAATGCATACTTTATATAGTACCGTAAAATAAAAGGGGTCTTTTTCGATACAGTAATATTGAAGCCATATCCAGATTTGTTTTCACTACCTTTGAAGTCAAATAGGGGGGGGGGGGGGTCCTCCTTTTTTTCCCTCATTGACTTTGTTTGTCTTCATCAGGATGACTTCATGGAAGGAGAACAGGTTGCAGTTGTGAAGAAGCCAGAGCTGGCTTTAGCCTGACCTGAGTCTTCTGTACTTCAAACCGATATTCTGTGATGTCGTGGGGTGTGATGTGAGATACCCAAGGCCCAGTGTCGTAACTTCTATGAAAACTCATAGTATAAACTTTCCATGTCATAATCTGGAATACTTTCAAACAATCTAGTGTGTTACTTTTTCATGTGAATGAACATTGGAAGTGTGAGCTCATTTTTTATGCTCTATGTTGCATGCACTTGTCAGCAACAAAGAGCTCCCAGTTTTTAGTGTTGTGATTTTCCGAACACTGTCTAGTCCCTTGTGTGATGTGAGTGGTGATCTGAGATATATTCTTGGGAGCTGAACTTCACCAGATACAGTGAACTTTGAACTCCTCACCTCTGTTTGAGGAATGGAGGAAGAAGAGAAAGAAAACCAAGCTCAGTACAGCAGTCAGCTGGCATCAGGGAGAGCAAACGTGGAACAGCACAGTGACATGGAGAATGAGACTGATCTGTCTTATTTAGAGGTATGCCATTCTCAGTAACAGGTAATGTCCGTAATTCAACACATAGATCTGTGATGTTTCCTTTATCAAGATGTTTGGGAGAAAAACCTTGTTATGTATCTAGTCATCGGGTATATTTGTTGTTAGCTATTTCTCTTGTCTTGCATGTTTCAACTTATCGGACACTCATACACAACCATTTTTGTGATTTGTACATGTATCAGTCAACAGCCTCAATATTTTTGTCTCTCACAAAAGAGAATGTCCAAGTCCAAGTTTTTGAAAAATGTCAGTTGACTTGTTTTTTGTTTAAAATTTTTAAGGCTTTTTTAGAATAGAAATTGTTTATGTGCTTTGATGTGACGATTATCAATGTTTTAAAGAGAAGGGGTGAGTGAGGGGGGTCTACAGAATTTTTAAAAAGATTTAAAACCTGGAAAACAGGAGAGGGCAAGTTCCTCTTGACTTCAAAGAATTTTTTTCATATGTGACTGAGAAAACAGTTGAACCTGCTCTAATGTTCACCTGTCCAATGACCACTTCCCATTCCCCCCTTTGTAATTTTCACTAAGACATAAAATAACGCTGGCCAAGACAACCACCTGTCTAAGACAACCTCTTTTCTCCCAGTCAATGGGTGGCGGTCTTGGGGCGGTCTTGGAAAATTTTGATTATACTTATGCATACAAAGTACACTTTGATGCTGTTAAACTATATATGAGAGGCATCTTGGTGAAATCAGGCACTTGTCAAAATAATGAAATTGAAGAAACTGGCATTTTTTACCCGTTTTGTGATTTTTTTTTCAAATGTTTGTTTTTTGACTCAACGCCTTTAGGGTTCATTTGAAGTATATTTATGTGTGGATTTACTGAAAAGCGTTGATTTAAGGCTCAAAAATTGTAAATTCGCAGTTTCCAAGGACTCTCGAGCGTTGGAAGTCACCAAACTTTGGTGGTCATTTTCTCGCTAATTTTACCACTGAATTAGTACTTTTTTTCACCGAAAGCAAAACAAATGAATAAGCTTTAAGATGATACCAATAACTCAACAAGCCCAAAAATTGACAAGCACCTGATTCCACCACGTTGTGACACATATAATCATACTCTCATACATGTGTTTATCATTGTACTTTCCTTAGCACGAGTCTGCTGAATTTTCCTCGTCTGAGGAAGAAGAAGACCGTGACGAAGGCTCTGAGCCCGTCTCTCTGAACGTGACTCCTGAACTGCTGGCTGATATTTTACACCAGAAGCAAATGGTAGAGTAACTTTTCTTCCACTACAGTATTGCCTTCAAGCAGACACGTAACAAAATCAGTGGGATGGGAAAACCTTTTCATTATGTACAAATTTCACTTTGTATGTGTTTCAGAAGCATAGAGTTTACATCATGTATAGAAAATATCCGGGACCTTAAATGCTATACTCTATGTGTGTGCTAAACTAGTATCTCTTCTACTTTCTTAAGACCAGAAAATGTTACCTTTGCATTTGTAGCTGGAGTGCCATTTTTAGCTGAAAAGAAGTTTTTACTTTTGCACTATTGACAGAGAAAAATTCACTTCATAGATGGTTGTGGGGTTCCAGTGTATAAAGTGAACTTACAATGTTGCAAATGGTTATTAGTAGTATTGGTGACTAAGTTATGCATGATTTTCAGAGTTCGTTGTTTGGGGAACTTACTGTAGATCTAATGTGAGCAGTGTAAACTTTGATTTATAAACTTGACTTTGTAACTCGGGATTTAAAGAAGGATGACACTGCATATATATATACAAAATCTTTTTAGGTTAATTTTTTTAACAAGTAGGGTGGGAGTTGTGATTTTTAAGACGGAGTACACAGCGCTTTATTTTGACCTTTTTTATTTGACCTTTTATTTGTTTTCTTCCTGTCCTATTTAGAGAGAGACATTAAAAAGGTCTACTTAATAACTAAATGTTTTTGTCTGTGAAACATTTTGTGTTTATGTGATGGTATTTGGATTGTGTTCATTTTTTCAAGCTAAACTTGATTTTTTTTTTGCTGGACATTGTTGCTTCTGTTTAATCAAGAATTTCTATCCGGTTCTGAATTGCTTTATTCCTTTCTTTTCGCAGAAAATCCTTCAAACACCAGAGGTGATGCATTTTTTGCAAGAGCACCAAACCATGTTAGCTCGTAACGGCTCCCAGTGTCAGTCCACGGCTTCACACGGGCAGAATCGTCCACTGGTCAAAGACGCGGGATTGTCCTCAGCTCTCGCAAACTTTTCGACAGACTCCTCCACACAGCACAGCCTCCCAAACAGATGACACCTGTCCTTGTGGTTGTTGTTCTCTCACTATCTCTATCCCAAGCCTTGATTTGCGACCTGTCAAACCTCGTTAAACCGGCACCCCTGTCATGGAACATGATTCTGCTGTGCGATCTGTGCTTGAAAAATGTCTTTTTGTTGGTGTTATACATGTATAATATGTATTTAGTAGAGCCAAGAGTCTTCTCTCTCCATTTCTTTGTCTTTCTCGTGGGAGAAAGATAATCAAATATCCAACCAGTGGGTGTTGTGCGCCATGTGCAGTGTGTACCTTTGTCGGTCAGTTCGCTGGCGGTACGACAAGGTAAATTTGCATTAATTAAATAAAGGCCGTACAGCTCCGACAGTAGGTGGCATTTTTTTTTTTACATTGGCAAAACCTGGTGGTAAGTGGGGCTGGCGGTATAACAGGCAGGGGTACGAGGTTTGACTGTATATTTATGGCTTTTATCTTTAGATTTGTTTTTTATTTACGGTATCTTTTTGAAACCGCTCTAGCAACATATATCTGGTAACTTTTACAACGATGCTCTCCGTGCTGGTTTAAATTATAGTAGATTTCTATGTACTGGCACCTCTTTTTTCAAGTTGATTTTGACATAATGGAAGGGTGCAAGTTTTTACCATTCCTTCTCCCGTTTTCTTTAACTCTTTTTATCCTAGCCGTACCGCCACGGACTCTGTACCGGTCCTGGGGCCGCCGCGCCGTATGAGTCAGAAGTCAGTGCGTATAGTTCAAAGTGCTATATTTCTTACGTTTACTCTAAGGTTTTAAGGAAATTTGGCAGTTAGGTTAGAAATTGAATGTAGTTTTTGTAAATGTATGTGGTTAGGAAATACACCAATAGCACAATGTAGATTTTGAGGTGTATTCCACCTTCGAACTTGACCCGGATTGCCGCGCCCACGACGCCCCATTGGATTTTATAAATCTAGATCTAGCCCTACCCATCGAGCGCAAATTCCAGCTGACCCCTTCACCATGATCTGAATCGCTATTAGATGAGTCTAAGTCCTGTTTCTTATCATCCACAACAGAATTTACGGCTCTTATTTCAGAGTCACTTTCATCAAATTAGTATCATTCCCCCTCATAACCCAGCGCCACTTCAAAAAGAACTTCGTCGGTCGTGAATGTGCGTTTTCGAGACATCTTTCAAGCTTCTACACCCATCAAAAACAAAGAAACCACTGTTCATTGGAAAATTAAAATATTCAGACAGAGCTAGCATCGCCGTATTTGCGTATTTTGGTAATTACAAGCAGAACTAGCTTCTTTGAAGTGACCGTATCGCTGTTCCAAGAATACTCGTAGCCCGGACTGGTCCTCGTTGCGAGTATACTCGTAGCCCGGATAAAAAGAGTTAAGACACTGCTCAAATTGAAATGTATCTCTTCTGGTCAATTTGTGTTAGTCTTTGTATCAGAAGTCATTCAGTTTGTGTGCTCCGATAGTTCAAAAGTGAAAATAATTTTTCTATGATAATACCTTCAAATTAATTTCTTTTCGGGCAAATAGTGCTGGATATTAGGTGTCTACGAAGTCATTTAAAAGAACCTGAAAAATGCTGCAGATTGTAGTTCAAATCAGGAATCGGGTCTGTGGGCATGGTTTCAACAAGTATACAATCTACCTCACTCAAATTCAAATGCTACACATTCTCTGCCAATTGTGGAGCTGAATGCTTGTAAATTTTCTGCTGAACAACAACATCCTACTGTTTGGGTCCAAACTAGTGGTGTCAAAAACACTGCGTTGACAAATTTGTTTTTAGAGTTTTGTCAGTGTAGAAGGGATTTCACCACAATAAAACTACTACTTTTATTGAATTTGCATTTCGGTTTCCTGATGACCCTCTACAGAAATTTTTATACTGAACTGTTGAGTGTGTTGTCCTGTTACTTTGTACAGTGGACGGGATGAAAGGTTATTTTTGGCTTTGTTGAACCATATGGTAGCTGACTTAACTGGGGCATTGTCAAAAGGTTTTGGCTTGGTATGTGCTGTGTTCCATTAGTTAGAGATCTCTGTATTTATTTAGAAGATGCTCATCCATATTCCATAATAAGAATGTGAATTAAGTATATCTTGTACATATCGTTTCTCTATCACCTAGTAGCACTCTGCCTTGGAGTTTATCCTACAAGGAATATAGTCGGAGGTCTGTATTAGAAAGGGTGTAGCCTACAAGCGTGGTAGTAAGCTGTAATTTTCACTGGATATTTTTGCAGAGAATGGAATGAATCTTACCTGAGGCTTTTTTTACATAGAGATGGTTAGTTTAGATTTTTGATTTCTGTCATGACTTTGATAAAGGCTGTGATTTTAGAGAAAACAGTTAACGGGTTGACAACACAGAAATCTGGCAAATTTGCAGTGACAGAACTGAATACTTATTTCTTCCACAGAAGGAAAACATATTTTGTTTCGGAAGAGGTGTTTAGTATATTCTCAATGGCCTATCGGGACAGCATTGCTTTTATTTGTTCAATTTTAGTTGATGTCATGGCCTGTACCATGTTGACTCTTTATCTCCGCCAAGCCGCTCCCATCGGCTGACAGCAGTTTGCGGTCACATTCCTTTATGACAACTTCGACATCAATTTACTTTTCGGCAATTGACAAAAATAGGTCTCTTTTATTAGGATTTCATACTTTAGATGAACTATTAAAATAAGTTCACTTGTTATGATTTAATGACCAATTTAGTGACGTTTTCGTCCTTTTTAGATTTAACCTAGTACCAAAAAAGGGCCCCAGCCTAGTGGGTTTCCCCCCCTCGCAGATAAAGAGTGAATGTAAGGAGATACTCATATCTCTTGTTGGTTTCCATAATACTTTGGTGAAAAAGGTTGAATGGTATGGAGGTTTTAACACCCTTATCAACCCCAATAAGTTATTTAAGAGGTGGGACCTTGGGGTTAAATGACCGTCTCTGACTGAAAGGCCCAAGCCAAATGGGAAATTTGTGAAAAGTGCCTTTCCCAAGGACACATCGGACCGAGCTGAGGCTGGAACCCGGGAACCCATTATTTGACAATTATGGGTGGAGCAGCCTTACCGCTAGGCTACCGATGCCAACATCAATGATTTTCTTATATTTTAGAGGTGCTATTACTATTATAAAGCACTACGTGACCTATTTTGTAGGTTCTTGGAGGGGGGGGGGGGGGACTCTAGTTTGGATTGCTCTGTCTGTCCTATCAACAAACATCCATTGTCCTTATCTCTCTTCCTTCTTTTCTTTACATGTTACCCTCTGGTAACAACACCTCTAATCTTGGCATTTGGGTTGTGAGTTCCGTAAAACTTTCTAAAAGTAAAAAGTAGGTCTAACTATTCCTACATGTTTGTTGTCATTTTTCCTCTAAAATTATGTGTGTAAGTTACTCTAAGCCTACTGTTGATTGAGATAAATGTATAAAATCAATATGAATATTTTACTTGTAAGAGATGAACCCTTCACATGATTAAAGGTCATGGCTTTGTGTGTGGTAATATGGAAATGCAACTGTCAAGATTCTGATGATTGAATGTTTGTCTCAAGTGTAAGTATGATCATTAAATTGACTGAATGAAGGAACCCAAATTGTTCTTGTTTCTTTTAAAGAATATATTTTTATGAGTTTAGACAATGATAGTGATAGATTTTCAATTCTGCCAACTTATCATTGAAATTCATCAAATAAGTCGCTGAATGATCAAATATTCGGCTGTGGCCCACTCTCACTAGTAGTAGTATCACACTCTGTGTTATACTTTGCACAATATAGATCAGAAGTGTCACTTATATTTAATTATATGTGAGACGTGCTGACGAAATGAGTTACTTCTCGCAATCCAAAAATGGAGATATTGGCCAAAAATCAAGATTAGGGTCAAATTTGTAAATTTTTATATTGATGCCATTTTCTTTAAGTATAACATGCCTCTGATTATTTCATACATATTATAAATTTTAAAGACTTCACCTATAAGCTTGATGTATCTATTTCCATGGGTCTCGAATCCAAGAAGTAACTCATTTTGTCAGCACGCTTCACATATGTCCTAAATCAGAATAGAAAGCTCAATTACATATTGTGTGACGACTAGGTGGACCAAGTACTCATCCTTTTTTTTGTGCATATATGGAGTTACTAGTATAGTCAGAATTGTCTTGCTTTTGATTTTTTTTAAATGCATCTATCTTTAAACAGTCTAGATATTTGTTGAAGTGGGGGTCGCCAGGTGACAGAGGTAAAATTAACAAGTACAGTGGAAACCTGATATAACAAGGATGGTGGGGGTAGAGAAAATTTCCTCTTATATCCGACCCCTGTTACAGAAATGCAAGGAAAGTAAGCATTTGTGGACTAATCCAGCTGTACTTATTCATGGGTAGTTGCCATTACCACAAGTACCCACGAATAGGGGTTTTGGCACTAACTTTCTCCTTGCTTCCTTAAACCACATCAGAAGAGCTTGGTCCACAGCATCTGCATCGGGTAGTCTCATCTTCTTTCGATCCAGAGCAAACTTTATATTGGACTCCAATTTGGAGTATGCTGCCACTATCTTCTCTCTATCCTTGATAATGGTGTGGATCGACCCTTGTGGAATGTCGAACTTACGACAAATCTCTGCTAGTGGAGCTTGCTTTTTGTCGACAGCCTGGATTATTTTGTATTTTCTGTCAATTGAAAGGCATTTTTTCTTGCGCTTGACATCGTTGGTGACTCATTACGCGTGCATGTTGCTAGGTTTTGGGCTAGATCGTGGTCTGCAGCACACCACAGCCCTCTCTCGCTTTACACGCTGCGTGTGCTTGTAGTGGCCTCTCTCTCTCTCTCTCTCTCTCTCTCTCTCTCTCTCTCTCTCTCTCTTTTTACACATTGTTAACGAGCCTTTGTTCCTGCTATAACCGGTTGGGCTACGATGAGGCCCTGTTATTGCCGATAACTTTTAATAGAGACAAAGAGTAGGAAAAAACGGGGATTTAAAAAATCCCTGTTATTACCGGGCCTGTAATAATATAAATGGTTTCCACTGTATATGTCTGCTTAAGTTTGGTAGCTTCCAAAGCTTGTGTGTGGACAGGAACCTTGCCCTTTATTACTTTATTTGTATCACATTGGTCCATGAGTTGACTGGCAGTTTCAACTTTTAAGCCCAGTTTTGTTCCTTTGCTCTGGCCCTTTCTCCCTTTTGAACAGAGTTGCCCTGACTTTTGTCCCACTGCAAATTATGTGCACACAATCGTGGTCTCCACCACGAAATGAGGAGACTTATTACAAGTCCTCCGATAAATTATAAAACTGAGATTTTTTTACGGGTTTCACGCACCAGTAGCTCTAGTAGTAGTAGAACCGAGTTAGCACAGTGAACATAGTACATGTGCTGGCATTTTTGGCATGTTCGCGTGTTTGAAACACAGGGATGAAGACGCATCCAAATCGTATAGTGTTTTAGTTACTTTTATGGCACTTGCAACACAAAAACTTAAGGTCATGTAAGTGAAGATTAGAGGTGTTACAAGAGAGTAACAAATGCATAAAAGAAAGAGGAGAGATAAGGACAATAGTCGTTAGACAGGAAAGAAGAAGCAAACCACACCAGAGCACTCGCCAACGACCCACAAGTCTATTATATATATACACATACAGTCTGTGCATATCAAGGCAGGGGCTCCTTCCTTCTACTTCTTGTAATCTAACTAACACAGATGGTAGAATTCTGTCAGATAAGATAGGGAGAGGCTGGGTCATGGTGTTTTAGAGCATCTGAACAAAGAAATGAATGATAATATATTGATAAACTACAATATAACTATAAGACAAGTGACTTGAATCCGTCAGGACCGGCCTTGGTAGTTCGAGGGATATCTTACTAAGATAGAAGAAGGAAAAAAAAACGGGACCTCAGGCTCATTTCGGTAGAGGTGTGATTTCGAGTCTTCTGTATTCAGCCTATCGCCATGTTATACTGTATAATGATAAACCGTGATCGCTGATCTCTGCTTTAGATCTGGCACTTCATGAAGATGATGACGGTGACAAAGGGATATCCCTTTGAGCAGGCTGTCATTATAAGAATGACTTTAATCTAATTTGAATCTTGCTAAAAGCTTTTCAAAATAAGAACTAGCGCCTTTTTAAAAATTATGTCGATGAAAGCGTACACATTCAGAATATTTAGGTGGTGGTCTTCTGTCGGGGCCATCCCGGGCTGAGAAAAACACATCCTATTCCCAGCAGAAAGACTGTGATACTCACTAACTAAAAATTCTCCCCGTCTGGGGAATAGATATAGAAATTGGCTCTCCTGTGTGCCACAGCAAAATGTGTAACTACTACATCAAAGAGATGCCAGTGGACTAGCACCTGAACATACTCAAATTAGCTGGCTGAACTGTGTTAACAAACTTTCAGTGTTTTTGTCCAAAAGTAACCAAGTTCACTGTTGAATAATACGTGACGAAAACTATCATTTAAAAGAAAAAGAACACCAAACCCAAAAGTCTTGCATTGTATAATGTAATAAAATTTATTACTTTCATTGATGACATTAATTAACGAAGAGGCATAAAGTAATCAATGTTTCAACCCCCACATATGTACACATAGTAGTACGACCATGCATAGACTGCACCTCATCAAGCCACAAAAACTGTACACATCTAGCTACTTCAGAAAAAAAAAAAAACGTATAGGCCTATATTTCATTTCAGCAAGAAATCTGTGACTGGTTTAAATCTATAGAAAAAGAGTACAAGTTGGCTACAGTCTAGCACACACATAGCAAAATCAGCCAGACTCAGAAATCTTTTTGTTATGTGCAAATTTCAGTCAATATTACAAAGTGGCACAGCTCATTTTTGCTACTTTGGAAAAAAAGAGAAAAAACTTTAAAACTTTATTATCATCTAATAATGATAAAACTTGCCATGCATGTTTCTTTTGTGGCTGCCAGAACATCTTTGTTTTGATTTTACTGAAAAATAGGCATAGTAGGCCTACCACGAAACAAAATAAAAGGTGTGTTGCATTTTGGCACAACTTTGAGTCATGCCATTTTGCTAGCATAGTGCGTAGTGACGATATGAAAACATTCCAGACCTGAAAATCTGTTCGCTATGTATGTGCTAGAATGCAGTTTCTTCAGCCACATAATATGAACCCCTTGTATTATAAACCTGAAGGCTAATGACTATAACGACTGCAAATATTAATTATATGAACATATATAATATCTGTACCAACAATAGCTATGTGTCTGTACTAGAACTTTTTGCTGCCACTTTTTCAAATGTAATTTCAAAAGCTCTAGACCAAAAACAGAATACCTAAACCATAAGTTAAAGAATGTTCTCATTAATTATCTCAATGGAATAGGTATATATATTCTTAAGAATCGAATGGGTATATTCCCAAGTCTACACTTGTAGAGAAGGAACCTGCGGGATGATGTATTCTGAAATTAATTCCTTTCTTTGAGCTTCATAGACCAGCACGTTCCTTTTGCTCTGTAAAGTGTCAAGAGCATTCAGTTACAAACCCATTCCTGTGCAGCAGCAGCAGTATACCTAGCGAAACTCACTTTGATAATGATTGATAACAGCATAAATCAGAGTATCACGCATTTATATTCTGTTCACGCTGGCTAAAGCCTAAGACAGAGAGTGACGAAAGAAATTTTAGTTCCTCTATATCACAATCACAATTAATCAAACAGGGTTGCAATCCAAAAACACGTCAAGTAAAGCACTGTCTAATTCTGATGCTAGAAAGCGACAACTCTTTCTTCTGATTTTAACTCGGCAATATTATAACAAAGAACAGAGTCATTTACTGCTTAGGCTACTCACAAACTGAGTGTAAGTTAGGAGAAAAACCACCCCCAACTCCATTTTCGTTTTTTGAAATGTATTATAATTTTGCCACAGAAAGGATCACACATTCTGACAGTGTGGGGTGCTGGAATACAGTACCAAATGCCACACTCTCTCACAACTGCACACAGCACGTCACATACCCGAGACAATACAAAGAAAATCAAACACATGTGAGTAGTATGTGTGCATGCAGATGTGTAGACTGCTGTTTGAATGTGAGTACCAGTCTAAAAAACAGTCGAGTCTCACTTGTCCGTCTCAGCGCCCCCCCAATCATCCACAGACACTCCGCTGAAGTCCTGTAAGAAGCTGGGGTCAGAGAGTGGGGTAAAAAAAAAAAAACCAACAACGCCTCAGAGGCCATAACTTACAGTACGTAATTTAAAAGTCCAAGATCTTTGTCCTGCAGCAGGCACCGGCTAAAAAGGAAATCTTCAACAAAGGATAACAAAAATTCTATTTAATTTATCACTCAAACCAAGTTATATGTTCCTCAAATACACCCAGTTTCTAATCGACAACTATGCCACACCCACTAGCAGATAGTGTGTATATAAATTCAATATATATACGTGTGTAGCATATAGTTGAACCTGGAACTCTTCACATAAGACGTATTTGGAGTCTTCTGTATTTTTCATTTTTGAGGCAAAGAGGGGTTGGGTTTTTTTCCTCATAACTAATTGATATACTTTTGAAAATATGATCCTGTAAATGTACCTCAAAGCAATGAAAAAGGTAGCTCAAATACAAAAAAAACTCTCCTGAAAACATGTCTGTACACATAAAGGAAACAACAATTTCAACAAAAAAAAGAAGAAAAAAACCCATCAGTCAGTCTACAAGGTCGCTCCGAGATGAAGCTGTAACTAGTCCCCTCCGGTACACATTGATCCACATTATATCTGTGTTTATATATATATACAGACTCAATATACATATCACAAAGGCTACAATTGTCTCAGAAAACCAGAGCCAGCACATGATATGAACATTTGATTTCATATACCACAATGACACTTCACACAGTATTCCAACAACCACGTCTCGGTCAGGCAAACAAAGCATCTTCCTCACCAATTCCACAACCATCCACTCAATCCAGACTCCCAATGCACTGGATCACACACGTTATGAATAAGATAATTTAAGGATTTGTATTGACCTGCTCACAAAAAGAAATAACCAGTCAAACAACAAACACGATACCTCTTCCTTTGTTCACACATTTAAATCACCACTGAGAGACGTGTAGAAAAAGATTCCAAAGAGACGAGGAAAGCCAGCAACTCATCACACAGCAGCACACACTACTTAATGAAATGTACACTAGCAAAGCTATCGGAATTTTTGAACACATTTCAGAAGAAGAAAAGGGACCAAGAATCCACGCTCTCGCATGTTCAATGATCATATGATTATTCCGATATTATATTAAAAATAATGAAAATATCTTAACAGTTACCAAACAGAAAGGCTGTTGAAAAGACTGAGAGAACACCACACCCAACAGAGCACTCACCTCTGCGTTTTGTACATCGATAATCTGAGAGGTGTGCAGTCAACATCACACAACCTTTTGTACTAGGAAATGAGGTTTTTCTTTGACTTCATAATATTTTTTAAAAAACAAAAAAACGGTACAGCATGCATTATGCGATACATTTCCTGGCAAACACTTATGCCGGAAAAGGAAATTCCACCTACAGCATTAACCGTTTTCTTATTTCACATACCTGAATTGCAATAGAGAAGTAAAGCGCGTACACACCTTGATACACCATATCTCAAAACCACACATATGTACACGCACACATACACACAATATACGCACACAGACATACAAAATACACACGATGCCCAGACAGACATTCGGCTTCCAACAATTCAGCCATCTTTTCGGCTTGCATCAACAGCTGGGAAGTGGAGTTTCCACACCGTGTTAAAAAAAAAAGTGACAATTCTTCATCTGTCTTGTAAAACGTCATCAGTTTACATTATCACTGTTTTGCCCCAAGTCCAATCTGGCAAACATCAGGGCATGACCCGGAAGTGATAAAAGCTGGACATGAGCCAACTGAAGTTCCAGTTGAGGGCGAGAGACAGGATGAAGACAAGCAGGATGCCCGTCATGGGAAACAGCAGCATTCTCGTGTTCTTGAGGAAAGGCAGAGCTGAGGACGACAAAACCAAAGTCTCATTAGGGAAATGACTTATCGTCAGTGCATTTCACTATCCGCGTATGGAGCATTCAGATTCTTTCAAGAAAATGTGCAAAACTTTCTTATTAGTCTAATAGGTGTATTAGCCTCCTGATTTTCACAATTCATATTTAAGTTGTCGTGAATTATTGATGCAAAGTAAAATGTGGGAGCTGAGTGGTCAAACGCCTCAAAATTGGATTGTTCCATACACGGATAGCGAACTGCAATGACATTATGTTGAGGCCATAATACAGATCTACAGATCTACACTCCGTTCACAATATTTTTTCTCTCACATTTTACTCTTTTTGTTTTTCACAAAAATTTTGAATTCACTATTAGAGTTCGCTGGTGTCATGCATTCCAATGCAGTAGTGCCCCTTTTAACATTTCATGAATCACTTGAATTCGCAAGCTCTTTTAAAAATCATTAACTCACTTATGTCTGGGCTATTTTAGAAAACACAGGCCCTGGAGTCTGGACTTTTTGGAGGTTTTCAAAAATTCACCCTCTCACACCACATACACCAAATTTAAACCACAGAAACATCAAATATAGTACCAAAAAATGCAAAATATATTACATAGAAATCTTTCATGGCTTCTATATCATGATCTTTCAAAAATGGGCACAATTTGACCACGCGCATAAAAAAATTTTTTAGGCACTTTTCCAAACTGAGGAGGAGTACATTTACAAAAAAAGGGCCGACTTTTTCGCGACCTCCCGACCCATCTCAAAATTCCCGACTTTTTCCCGATTTCCCAACCTGGTGGGGACCCTGAATATGAATCCGCCATTGAGGTCTATAATGATCTATAAATCTAGATCTAGTAGAGCAAGTGAGTCGGACTTGAATGAATCCACATGATGATCTGAACAATCAGTAAACAAACAAAATTCAAAACTGAAAGTAGATAATTTATGTCGTCGTCCTTTATCGCATTCGTATTTCTACTCAGGTTCCGACAAATATGTCGGAAACGCCAACTTCTGCAGTCGGCACGAAAGCGAAAGTGCTGTCAAAGCCGACGGGAGAAAAAAGGGGGGCTGGCAGTCGGCCAGGCCTCGCACTTTGCACATTGACTAATACAGGTGGGCCTAGCGATAGCATCGGCCGGCTCGCGGGTCGGGTCGCCATTGTCGGATTTCAGACGATTGTCGGCAAACATGCAGGTCTAAGTACCTTTCATCTTTTTTTTTTTAAATTTATTCTTGATGTCAGTCACTATAAAGGACATCTGTACAAACACATTTCAGTGACCAACATTGAAGAGCCGAACGTCTTACCGCTGTACCCCAGGAAGGTAATGTAAATGTAGTAGCCAATAGCTATCAGCCACAAACTGTTCCCAAATAATCGTGATGCAAACATGTGTGTGTTGATGAAATCTGAAAATACAACAACAAAAAAGCATAGCTTGAAACTGGAGGCTTCTCTTTCAACTTTCAGAACTCCATATGAATTTCAACTAAATGCATCGTTAGTATCATTAACAATTTTAAAAATATTCAAGAGCAACTTAAAACCTGACACAGCAACATATGGAAGTGAGTTAACTGCACATATTTGCAAGTGAAAATGTTTTTAAAAAACAGAAATACAACTGAGTCCATTTAAACCGAAACTTGAGGGATTTAGTTTAGCCAGGTTTTCGGTTCAGAGAGGTTACAGTAGTCTCCGCCTAAACGCACGCTATACAAAAGCACGCTCCGCTCAAACACACGCTTTCGTCATCTGACGGGTTTTTTACTATATAATTTAGACATACAAACGTACGGTCACTCCCTCTAAACGCACGCTCCGATCCGCGAAACACTCTGACAGGTTAAGCTTGACAAGGGGAAATTTTCACTACAACCTGCACAGCTTGCATAGACAAGCCAAGAAAACCGGGTGAGCCGGGTGAGTGCTCCTAGCGCCGAACAAAGAGAGTGGTGGACAGCGTTTTTACACCCAACTTTCCACAGAGTGCCACAGACACATAGGTCTGGTTCTCCGTCTAGGGCTGGTCGGGGGGGTGCACGGTTGGGGGACTGAACTGTTTTTTGATTGGTCACTGGAAATGCATCTTTGAGAGAAGGTTTCTGACTGGTGTTTGGGTGACAGCGTGTAATGTTTAGTAAGACCTAGGCCTGATGCGCAACACGTGTGAATTCAGTAAAACACTAAATAGGCCTCAATAGGGTTTGAGATTAGCCAAGTAAGCCTAATCAGTTGCGCTCGAAGAACTTATATTTTTATAACGTACTTGTTCAACGAATCACAAAAGAAATGTTTCTCTGAATGTAGAGATCTATGATTCTAATGTCGTCCGTGAATTTACGGTCAGGGGGTGGTCGCTTGGAAAACCACGACGCCGCGCCGTCGTCTCTACGACTATCTCCAACAGTTTCCTCTTAGCTGTTCCCGATGTTTTATAGTGCATTTTTATTACATTAATTTACATTGAGGCTGTCTTTCTACATCCCCCCCCTCCCCCATTCAACACGCCTTTGTATTCATAACCGCAGTCTGGGAAATCCTTCACAAAACCAGTCACGTGTTGTCACATTGTCGGCAAAAAGTGACCCTCACCCCAAAGGGAGGTCACTAGAATATCAAGGCAATGCAATGACTGCGTCCCTTCCTCCCATTGCAAAGGTTCATGAAAACGCAAGCTCCGTATAAACACACGCTGAAGATCCCCCCCCCCCCCCCCCCCCCCCCCCCGAGCACCGAGCGTTTAGGCAGAGACTACTGTACTCAAACAGGAGAAAAGAAATCAGGGATTTTCTTTTCTTTCCATTTACCGCTGTTTTCTGATTAACTGAGTCCAGTTTAGGTGGAAACTGTTGTTTATAGAGTAAGTTTACAAGAGAAATGCAAGTAAAATAATGCTGAATGTGCCGGACCCTCTGTACAGTTATCCTTCAGCCATAACTCTTCTACCCTCTCCTTAAAGTCCATAGAGAGCAAAAATATCTGCTACGTGAATCTCAAAAATAAGCAAAACTTGCAAAGGCCAGATTTAATCAACGTTTCTTTTGACTATAAAATAAATGGAGGTGTGAAAGCTGAAATCTCCACTGAATCGTCTGTTTCATTAAAAACAAGGTATTTAACGCAAATGTTGCACAAATAAGGCCTAAAACCTATTTAGGCAGGGAAAAGGACCCACACTAAAAGGCGACAAAAGATGGAAAAATACTGTTAGAGACCTATACTCGGTACCATATGGCATACTCACAATTCAAAAATGGCAGTTGGAAGAAATGTAAGATCATGAGCAGGGGAAAGAAAGCGTTGAGGTGAACATCAAAAGCGTAGCCCCACTCCACATCCTGTCCTCTAGGAGGACTCACCAACATGTAGCGATTGGCGATGAACCTGGAGAAAAAGAAAAAAGATTTTCTTGGAAGTCTTTTTCAACAAATTCTCTTCTTTTGTAACAGTCAGCTTTAACCAAATATAATGTATTTCGGAATGAACGCCATTATCTTTGTACTCCTAGTGAGCTCTTTTGGGTACAAATAGAGCACACACAGATGTTTCTGCAGTTCTTAATGATCCAACAGATAATAATAGATTCTTCTTCTTCTTCCTCGTTCTCAATTACAGCAGTTAGACAGTCAGTACGACGTCGCGCACAAACTGTGCAGTTCGCTTCAACTCTGAGAGACTGCCATAGAGCTTTCTCTCAAGGGGAGCCACATTCTGCCACGTCTGTGTATGAAGGGTGGCGTATAATAGATAATATATAGCGTTTGTATGGTGCAAATCCCCGATCAACAGCAAGCTCAAAGCGATTCACAATCTATACTATTACCCCAATAGACCTGAGAGCATTCTGAAACAACCTCAACTTCCTGGGAAGCATACAGTGCAAGCAGCCATTTATAGGCACTAAAACACTAACATACTGACGAGATCGTGCGCTTTCTATGGCCGGATACCCATTTCCACCTGGGTGAAGTGAGAAAAATTAGTGTAAAGTTAGACCTGCATGTGAGCCTCAACCAGATTGTCTGAAAATTTTCCGCACCCCCCCCCCCCCCCCCACACAAAAAAAGCCTTTGTGGGTGTCATAATCATAAGGAAAAACATCCGAGTAACGAGCGACCACCCCAACAAACACAATAAAGAAGAGACCTAACCCTAACCCTACCCCCAAAAAGAACCTGCAACGGGCCTCATGTAAAAAGGCCAAAACAAGTCCTAAATTTAAAAAAAAAAATTAATTAAAAAACCACACTCCAAAACAAACAAGGAGCATATCAAATAGATCTAGATCTAGATCTATATATGGCTTACATCTACATTGCTATAGGGTTTGATACAATAACATAATAGAATTGGAATATATAATATGAATCCTTCATATATATATATATTATATATATATCTAGATATAGATCTAGAAATCTAGTAATCTAAATAAATCTAGATCTAGATCTTGTAGAACAAGTGAATAGGAATAGGCCTTGAACTAGAAATCCGCATCCGATTCCCAACAGAGGGACTCAGCTGAGTCTAGATTCTAGATCTAGATCTTTAGTCTTTACTCTAAATAAATAAACAATTCACGCACCTGATGAAATGCTTATTTTTTACCAATATAAAGATTACAGCACAACCTATGATAGGGTTTGACACAATAGAATTGGAATATGAATCCTCCATTGAGGTCTATAATGATCTATATAAATCTAGATCTAGATTCTATTAGAACAAGAGAGTCGGACTTGAATGAATCCACACGATCTGAACAATTGAATTAGTCAACAAACGAAATTCAAAATGGCCGCTCGAGCACGAAACTGAAAGTAGACAATTTAAGTTGTCGTCTTTTTTCGTATTCGCATTTCTACTTAGGTTCCGACAATTATGTCGGAAACGCCGACGTCGGCAGTCGGCGGTGCGCGCGTCAGCGGTCGGCACGAAAACGAAAGTGCCGACGAAGCCGACGGGAGAAAAATGGGTCACTGGCAGTCGGCCAAGCCTCGCACTTCGCACATTGACATACAGGCGGGCCTAGCGATAGCATCGGCCGGTTCGCGATTGTCGGATTTCAGACGATTGTCGGCAAACATGCAGGTCTATAAAGTGCCTTTCCCAGGGACACAACGTCGGGCCCACGGCTCGAACCCCCGACCCTGCAACCTCACGACTACGAGTCCGGTAGCCTAACCACTAGGTCACTGACGCCACCAGCCTATGTCCACCTGACCGAGCGCCATGTAGACCAGTACCCTGTACAGTAGAGGTGTGCGAGTAACGAGTCCAGGCTCGAGTACTCGAGTAATACATGCGGCGAGTCCAGACTCGAGTCACAAGTAAATTACTCGAGTAAAGACCCGAGTAAGGACTCGAGTCTGTAGGGGAAAAACAGAAAAAAGGAGAAAAATTTGGTTTTTTTAAAAGTTAAGAATTGATAAAAGAAAAATTCTGATAAGCAATTTTTTAAAACTGAAGGAAAAGGAACAAAAAAAAACAAAAATACCCCTTCCCCAAAGGAAAAAAACCGACCCCCCCCCCCCCCCCCAGAAAAAAGCAAAAAGGAAACCACTGTTAGAAACCCACGATGACCAATCAAACTTCTTTCTTTTATGAAGTGCATTGTCTGAGGTTTACAGATTGTGTACATTTTATTCTTACTGTTGTAACAAAGAATTTTTTTTTTTTTTAAATAATAAGATAAGATAAGATGAAGACTACTTCTATTCTAGCTTAGTTGTTATACAGTTGTAAGCTTCTCACTCACCCGGGGTGAGAGAGCAAGCCTTTTGGCTATTCTCTTCATGTGTGCGTTTACCGTGATGTGATACCCAGTGTAAACCACAGAATTCTAGATCTACACTTTTTAAAAAATTGAATTCTGTCGTGTAAACAAACGTTCCAGTCCTCTTGTGTTAAAAACATGCAATTTTATCTGCGGGCATTGAAAGAGAGAGAGAGAGAGAGAGAGAGAGAGAGAGAGAGAGAGAGAGAGAGAGATAGAGAGAGAGATAGAGAGAGAGAGAGAGAGGAGTAGCCTAGATATAGCGAGAACTTCTGGGCAAAACAAAATGCCGATTAGGGTAGTTCGGCTCTATTCTAAAAGTGAAACAGCCGTAGCATCATTGTAGACCACCAAATTAGTTTTACTTTTGTGTTATAATATCATTTTTTTTAAAAGGGGTTTGTCTATTTAATCATCCTCACCGATAGGAAGTATTCAGAAATTAGGAAAACCCGGTTTTGTTTCACAGCGGGTGAGAATAGCCAACACTGGCTAGTCTCACCCGGGGTGAGAGGTCGATCACATTTTTATTCTCACCTGGGGTGAGAATAGCCACTTCCTAAGATAAAATAAAATAAATACGGTATAAACAGCATATGTCTAAAATTGCCATAAGCCTACTCAAGCTCCCTCCTAGGAAGGCACTCTATTTTCTGTCCGATATTCAACAAAACCTTTTTTGAAACCCACTAAAATTCCCTTTCGGGATACTATTTCTCGAGTAATAACTCGAGTCTTAAGAGCCGTGGGACTCGAGTAATTACTCGAGTAATTACTCGAGTCCAGAGCAGATACTCGAGTCTGGACTCGAATCTTAATATGCTGGACTCGCACACCTCTACTGTACAGTACTGCTTATGTCTGCCTGCACAAGAAAAGTGAACTCCCAAAGTCTCTGAGAGCAGGACAATCTGACCTAGCAAGTTGATCCTCCTACAGCTCCTTGTCTGAGTAGGTGCTGACTAAGCCTGACATGCAAAATCTTCTTGCCACAGAATGTCAGTGGTTAAGTTTCTTTTTCCTTTCCTGAGCTGAGCCATTTGTTAGCTCATCCTAGGGATTTGAAGTTATCACTACTTGGAATAATCTCCTTCATGTGATGCCACTGGTCCATGATGACACTACTAATATAAAAACCTTAAGAGGTCAAAGATAAAAAACAAAGAACTCTTTCAAAGTGTCGACCACACTCACCAGAACAAAGTGGCGATCAGAAGTCCCACTCCGATGCAGTCGACAAAGATGACCCACAGCAGGAACTTGAGGCCCCCCAAAAACCCAAGTCGGAGGACGAGGCTGAACCCGATGGAAGAGGCTGAAGGCACAAAGAACACACAGACAATTTTAAGAAATGATAGTTCTGAGAAAAATTACCCCTTAAAACAAGTAAGAAAGTGATGAAAACGTACAGATTTATACAACAACATGAACTGTGTCATCTGTTTAATCAGGTCACAAACATCTAGCTTTATGTCAATGACAAGTCACAAACAATTACTTCACAATACACCTTGTTTTTTTTCCTTTCCGAAGCTCAAGCCATGAACAAGTTCATCAATGTGAGTACAAATAAGTAGGTGTTTATGTATGTAATAGTAGAAAAGCCTCTGTCTCAACCGACAATAGAATTTATGTGAGAACAAAATGCATTCAAAATAAGATGACTTCAAACAATAGTTTTACACGTCAAAGTCAGAGTAAAAAAGTAGAAATCAAATCAAAATTCAACGTTACACTATGGTTGTCATTTTCAAGATCTTAGTGAAACTCAAATTGTTACTGTAAAAATTATTTCTCTTGGAAAAACTATAGAACTCTTCACTATAAAAGCAGTAAAAACCATCTCTTCGAATACCTTTCTAACATATCAAACATATGACTAGCAACCTCACAAGTTGACAGAATTGATGTGTCAAAAACTGAAGAAAAACTTGCTGTTATTCACGAGCAATTTTCCTAATTTGCCCGATATTTTGACAGAAAAGTGGGAAAACATGGAGTGACATTAAGTGACTAGCCCAGGACAGGGAAAGGTGGAAAGTGTTTGTTCGTGGCCTATATCCTGATCCCGGGTGAGAAAGGTAATAACGATGATGGTGCCCAATATATTCTGATAGTCTGCGTCTCCATAAGTAATGCTTGAGTTGATTACAAAATAAAAATCATCACTCTATCTGTTCTCACCACACAGCCAGAACGTGAGCAGAACAAGGAATGCTGGGTCGTCTCGCGCCCACTGGTCTTTCGTCTCTGAAATAAGAAGAAAATGTTAAAGCCTCTTATGGACAAGTTCATGGGCGATACAGTTGGGCACAGAAAATGGTAACACAGAAAACTCAAAATCAAGGATGGCTCGTACAATTTGCTATTCCCCGTCTGATATATGTTTATATTTTTTTAATCCCAAATTTTCTTGAACCCAAGTTAAGGATGTGTTTAACCCATTTGTCCATCCCTGATGTGCTTTCTTATCCAAATCCTCCTGTATATTAATAAGCTGAAGACATTTCTGTAGGTTACAAAAGAAGCACTAGTCAGCACTATCATTACCACGGAAAAGTATTTTAAACAGACTACTAGAAACAATCTGTTACAACTCCTTTGCTCTATATGTGATTTTTTAGAACATTCAATTATCAAAGCAAAATTTCCACAGACATACATACAAAACAAACACAATAGTTGCTCTTTTTGCACACATCGTGTCAACAGGATGTTGATGATAGTTCAGAACAATTTCAAGCACCCTAGTTCTGGAAAAGCTAGGCTAATGCTTCTTATAAGACACAGAATAATAAATCTAAAAAACTTACGTTTTCTGTATTGAAAGTTTCTATACCTGTTGATAAGAAAAGAAAACTATGTCACATTCAATTACAAAAGTGTACACCAATAAATAAAAAATTCATTTTTACAGTGCTTGTAACACAATTTCTTGGCAAAAAAGCAGAAACCCCCAAAAAAGGTGGAGATTACAGTGATAATGTAAGGTCTGTCGATAATTGAGGTTATAATATATTCTATATATATATATATATATAATATATACATCTTAACTTTGTAAAGCAAAAGCCTATTTTGAAGAACAGAGTGAAAAGACTTTTTCCCCATTTTTGACAAAGTTCTTCCAAATTCATCACAGCATATACCAAGAAGTAAAAAAACACAAATTTATTTTGTTCAATAAGTACCTGTGCGCATCTACTCAAATTGCTAAATTCTTCTTCCCTCTATTGAAATATCATTTTAGCAGAGAGATGGTCTTAACTCAGACAATTACAAAAATTATTTCTTAACATAGTAGTTTTCAAAGAATCAATGAAAAGGGTAATATTGATAATTTATTCTAAGAAAAAAGAAAACATATTATTCTTTTTTAACACAGAGGAGATTAAATTGAAAGCTACAAGACAGTCGAATTTTCGCCAATTTAGCCAGCTTTTATGTTTAGAGAAGTTGCTCAAATAAAAGAAAAAAAAGTTGGGGATTTATTTTCTTTCAGTTTACAGACATTTCGGATTAACCGTGTTTGCTTTAAACCGACTCCAGTGTACTTTTTTAAAATGTCAAATGTGACTAAAAAGACTGTACCGACACTATAAAGGTAAAACCAACCATTACCCTACAGAAATTTACTCACACTTTTTGAGGAGAAATGAAAAGATAAATCATCTGCCAGAATGCATATTCAAAGTCCATTTGACGAAATTTGAAGAGGCGGCGAAAATATTTTTGTCTCTTCGCTGTTGCTGTGAGATGAGAATCCTTTCTGTGGTTAATTGTGGTTCCATTGCTGTTTGATCGACTAAGAAAAGGTGACACTGGTGGTGATGGTGGTGTTGGTGACACAGGAGGGGAGTACTTTGCATAATTCGCCATTGCGTCTCAAGTTTCCTGTAGAAAAAAAAGAGCAAAAAGTATGATTCCTACTCAGTCAACCAACAACATTCAGCCCTGTACTTCCTTACTCTTATAAATATTTCATTGTTTCGGTGCTCACAATAAAAACTGGAACATTGTTCAAGCTTGTTTTAGTTTTAGTAGAGGTTTTATGGCGCTCACACGTGCATAAGGTCATATGAGCACCAGAAGATTAGAGCTGTTGCAAGAGAGTAACAAACATAAAAAAGAAGAAGAGGAGATAAGTACGATAGATGTTTGATGGGAAAGAAGAAGCAAACCACACCAGAGCAACCGCCAACCACCCACTTGTTCAAACTTGAAATTAAAAAGCAAAACATCAGCTTTATAAAACACAAGCTACAATAACCTGATATTAAAATGAAATTATTGGTTTTTAATTCAAATGGTGGTATCAAAATGAGCTCTATCATAATAGTGATATAAGCAAAATAGAAGAATACTCACATTGACTCACTACAACACATTTCTTCATGCTATCACTGTGTACAGCCATAATGATAAATAACTTGTCTTTTATTTCTTCATTTCACTCATATATTCGTGAAGTTTAACAATACAAAAATTCCACACATAGGTCTCATGCCTGCAGGGTAAGTAAGTAAGTGACTTGAGAAAAGTAAGTGTGGAAGAGATCTAAGCAATGGCAATAGTATGCACAGCGGCCAAAGCATCTTCTTGACAAACTTAATCAGCATTTTAACTCTTGTCCTGTGTCTGTGCTGAGATGCAAGTCTTTTAATTGTAACCTATTACGTCGGACGTTCCCGGCAGGCTGCCGGGGTCACTGCCGGGGTCACTCAGTGTGTACTGTTGATATACAGCAAGCGGCACTGGAAACATGAGTGTTCGCCATGAATACCAAGGGGGTGTGTTAATTGTTGATGAAAATAACGTTCTATCTTTTACAGTTTTCTATATAAAGTGTTACAAACACGTAACAAAGGCTCTCAAACGTTGATGAGACATTACGAGTCATTACGCCCATTCAAATAACCTTTTTAGACGCTCTTGTTGTTATGAATGATCTGGGGTTCGAAAGGGGATAATATAGGTCAATTTCTGAAAGTTTTGCTCTCAAATAGTACTTTTTACCAGCAAAATGGTATTCAAATCTATCAAATAAGCTTATTTGTATCAGGTAATATTTTACATAAAATCAAGCTCATTTGAAAGATTTTGAAGAGTAAAATAGAAGTCTTGTTTCCTGGCTATCCTTCTAATTTCATTGGACGAACATCTAGAGCTACAAACCTGGCGTGTTTTGAATGAGACGTATGCCTCGGTTACGAACCAACGCAGGTGGTTCTAAAAGTAGGCCACAAATGCACACAAATTCAAGCAGACTGACGCACACACACTTGAGCTGCGGGAATAAAGGACCCGGTCATTACACGGATGACGCTCCGCGCCAGGGCCCCAACTGACACAGGACCAGACGGAAGGCGAAGTGCCGAAATACGCTTATCGGGGAACATAAACCCGGCTCCCGTAGGACAAGGGTTAACCCGCCATGGGTAACACAAAGTGCAAGGTGTTTAAGCTAGCTCTATTTAACATGGCATTGAGCCAGAGAGTACAAGCCCAAAGCGGCAAACAACAAATTAGTAGTTAGCAGTGTAACCACAGAGGCCACAGTTCTGTTGTGAACTGTGCCATGGTTGAAGAAAGGTGGACACAGTGCTTTGGCCACCTCTATATTCTCACCCCTGGTGAGAATAACTCATTACTCGCTATTCTCACCCCTCCACCGGATATTGACAGTGATGTAGATCTATATTTTTTTAATCAGCGCTGAAAACTGGCGGAAATCGTGCCTCTTAGTTTCCCAGGCCAGCGACATCTGGAAGTCATTAAATCACCGTTGGAACCACTCCGTGCCGGGTTACGCGGGGGTCACTGGCCGCTCTGTTGCACGCAAGTTGCAGGCGGGCAGGTCATGGCGTAATCCACAGTTTTGACACAAATTTTGCGGCAGTATCCTCACTCTAACCACAAATTATTCCATATAAAAAGAAAAGAGCAAGATTCCCCCTCTCAGTCTGTGAAAACCCGATCTCAATGCGACGATATTTGCCGATGTTACAGTGCATGCAAAATGTTCTTAATTTCATCTGTGTGTGCCACAATCAATTCACTTTTAATTTCCAAAGTGCCTGCTCAATCTAAAAAAATGTTGGTACATGCACTGATTTCCAAAATTGAAAAGCGGGCTCAAGGCATCGTAGACAATACGGAAAAACTATGATAAGTTATGAACAAGCATTTGCTCCAGACAGCACCTTCACTGCGCATGCGCATCGAGGTTGCAGGCACCGAGAAAACAACCACGGCGCCATAGATAAGCATATAGATCTACTGTACAAAATGTGTAAATAGATCTGTGTCATTTCATGAAATAAACAGTAATGTGAATTTCATCACAAGCCTGACGAATTTTGCTATTGAACGAAAATGTAAAAATGTGGATTACTCATCCTCCAACAATGATGTCTTTTGAGATACCCACATTAATTGTCTTTTCCTCCTCCCGACTGACCAACAGTCTCATAAATTATAATTTGTAGAGCTGCTTTAAAGTTTGTTTGTTTTTTAATGTATATAGTGATGAAGAATGCAGGAGGGGGCGGTGGTAGATCTAGATCTAGAGCCCCTGTACAGCATACCGACATGTACGTCAGACCGGCAATAAGCACGCATTCGGCCCAAAATTGGACAACCAGACAATTAAATGATAACCTGGAATGACGTCTGCTATACAATTCCATTCAATATTGTTTTGTTTTCAAGTTCAACTATTTTGAGCAGAATCAGACACCTGTGTGAGCAGAAATAATCCATTTCATCTCCAAAGGTAAGAACCACGTTCAGCCATTACGGCTTGCAGATGCGCCTTGCGTCATAGGAAATAAGCTATTGGTTCTGTAATCGTACCCGCAGGATTCGTTTCGCATTTTTATTCAGTTTATAAGGTGTCTAGTTACCGTCACAAACCATTCGCTGCTCTTTGTTGTAACAATTGGCGCCGGTAGGGGGTGCCGGTATGGGGTACAATTTTTTGAGGGATGTACCCTATACCGGCACTATATTTTTTTACATGGTGCGTGACTTGAAAAATAGTTAATTCTTCACGGACTATGGATGGCATCTTAGTACTTTAGATTTTTTAGTTTCTATGATTTGATGTAGGTCTAGATAGATCTTTTTTAATGTTTGAAACAAATTTATATGAAGGAAACTCTATCCCTTCCCTCCACCTGTTGTATGTAATGATGATGATGATGTTCCTCTGTCCAATGTATATTGTGATGATGTTCCTCCAGCCACTGTTTCCACATGTTGTGATATTGTTCCTGCTCCTACTGCTTCTGTTTCAGAAGAAGAACTACCTTTGGTTTCAACACCAGCTCGGGATCCTGTGGATAACCAGGACCATGACTATTGTCTGCCTGAGCAGGCATTGAGACCATTGGAAGATGAAACTCTGGTGACACCCCAAGCCCCCCAAAAACTGCCTCAGGACTACACTTTTGCTTTGTCCTTGACAAGCTAATTGATCACACCATTGCCACTGGATGGATGGCATCAGACATGCATTGGGTCCGCTGTTGCCATTGGCACAAAATCGAACCTAAGGAGAACAAGGGGGCATACAGAAAGTACCTTGATTTGTACAATCAACTCATTCCTACCCCCTCGTTTGTCAACCTGCCCGTAACAGCAAGCTGGAACTCTATGGTTTCAACACAGAGAAGCAGGCTCAGGCCCCTAAGTTATTATTACCTGTATTATTACCTGTCCTGGGCAACAACGTCATTGCACACCAGACAGGTCCATAAATGCTCAGTTACCCCCGGCACCAAAGCCCGCATGTGTGAGTTGTGATTGTATCATAAGGGGCGTTGTGGTCGACAGAGTGCTGTGTTGAGCGAGATGTCAAAGAGTGAACTAAAGCATTTTACATTAGTGTGCCCTGAGTGGGAGTAAGATGTTCATATGTGTGGAAGAGTAAAGTGAAGCATTCATGTATGTGTGTGAGTAAGATGTTCATATGTGAGTTTGTTGTGATACATGTGTAAGAGTAAAATGAAGCATTCATATACTTGTGTGTGAGTAAAAGATGTTGAAGTGAGTTTGTTGTGATATGTGAGGAAGAGTAAAATGAAGCATTCATGTACCTGTGTGTGAGGAAGATGTTCATATATGAGTTTGTGATATGTGTGGAAGAGTAAAATGAAACATTCATACACCTATGTGTTAGTAAGATGTATGTGAGTCTGTCCTGGTTGTTGTTCTTTTATGTATGTCAATAAACATTAGTTCTGTCTTAGGCCCACTGTACAAAAGGAGTTCGTTTTTGCTTCTTTCCTCTTTTCAAATGCCTAGTTGTACTTCAATTTGAGTGTGCTGGTATGGGGTGTACAGCGCGCAGGTATGGGGTACATGCCATGACAGAAAACCCGATACGTGCCGGTATGGGATACATGTCATGACATGCTTCAAGTTTTGTTTAGGGGTCTTCTTTATACACTATCTGACTAAAAACTTCACCCCACACCGACAGAAAAGGCTGGCCTCTCAACGAAACGAAATTTTGGGTCGATGTTTTTGAAAGAGCCGAAGTTATGGTAATACAAAAGTTCACTTCCGGAAATAGTCATCACAAAACACTAAGGTGTCGGTATGCCGTACATGGGATCTAGATCTAATCCTCCAGCATCTTTCCCGCAATTTTCGTACACTTCCATCTTTGGTGCCATGCGGTTGGCTATACTTAGATGTAGTCACGTGATCAGAGGGGAATCCTGGTCTGACGTCAAAGAAGATGGGCACCGTACCTAAAAATAGTTTGCGTCTTTCTACATTTAATCGCATGTGCGCTATTCTAACTCAGTAGTAATCAGAATAAAGGTGGCCATGCAGAACAAGTTGGCCTAACATATATATAGTATCTTACCCAACTCGCGACCACTTGTCGTATTTTGCTTTCTCAGCGGTCTCTGTCAGCAAAATAGGTCAGGCAATCCTTGTTCAGGGCCGCTTCAGTGTGTCAACTTCCGGTTTATACTGTGATATCGTCACTCATTCCATGACGTCATTCACAGATTTCGCATTTTAACATGTTTATGTTCTGCCCTTGGCGCGACCGCATACGGAACGGGGCGCGACCATGCACGCACAGACATAACAGGTGCAAGAAAGTTGTTAGTACACTATTTAAAGGTAAAGTATAATCATTTCTTTAGCGAATTACGATGAAAACAATTATCTTATTATAAACAGAGGGTATAGAGACAAGTGGTCACGGGCTGGGTCAGCTACTCTAGTGTAGTAACTGAAGAAAACTTCTCGAAGAATGTTTCCGATAAGCCTTTCACTTCGAACTCGACTGCTGCACTAGCAGACGACTGACGTTCTCTGAAAAGGATCGACCAAAAGTGTAACTAGACAAGGCACGTAACTCTTATAAAACAGATTGCACACGAGCTGCACAAAAGGAAAAATGGCAAATGGGGAACTGGTCGCGCTCAGGGCACGGTCGCGCCAAGGGCTCTCTAGTATAGTCTAGCTGTGAACAATAACAGTATAGAGATCTAGAAATCTAGAACCTAGATCTAGAATTTAGATATTCTATTCTAGATCTGTAAACTCACTCTTGCCAATGAACTGTCAGTCTTGCCTTTACTACTTCACCAAGTTTTTAAAAGTTTTAAAAGCTTAAGCAGCCTATCTAGATCTAGATATCTAGCGCCGCAGCAGTAAGCTCAAGAAGGCGTTGAATAATAATTACCTGATACTAAATACAGTAGCTGTGACTCAGTGAATGCAGTTAGTCCTTCGTCTGTCAGTGTGTCATAATGGCATGTACAGATCACGTATGCATCCGTTATTACAGCGTTGGTATGATTAGTATCATGAACCTAATCTGCTGGTTGTTTGGGATACACTCTCATCACTGCCAGCGAATTGACGGAAGTACATACTGTTTACATGTCTGCGCATGTGTATTACGAATCCAAGGGAAATAAAGCTTGTTAAAAATAATAATTAAAAAGTGTTCTTGCCTGGAGGGCTGTGCTGAATGAAACGAATAAACCTGAAAGGTGTTCACAATTCACATTACAACTGACAGTAGGCCTAGCGGTCACTGCAAACAGCTAGCCTAACACTGATTCAGTTCTCGTGTGGTTGTGGTGACACTATTGATGAAGTTTCTTCCCACTCAAAAGTTGATCAAATAAAGGTGAATATGGCTATTTGATTGTATCTTTTGCATTATTTGTGATGTTGTTAGGCCAAGGTGAAGCCAGTAGTTCAATATAATATAATTTAATTTTGTTAAAATAAATAGGATCTTAAATTGAATGATGAATAATTAGCCTTCCTAAAAATTATAATTTTGTTACCCAGGCTAAGGTAATGACTTAACTTAGGCTACAGCTACTCTTCTACAATTTCAATTACATCACTAGCAGCTCTTATTTGCCCGTAAATATACTGGCCTACATTTAAATCAGTTACAGTTGAACTTGCCTCAACGGAAACCTGTGTGTAACGGAATCTTCCCGCTCCCCTCTTCGCCTCTTGATGTATTTCTCTTTAATTACCTGTATAAAACGGAAACCTGTCCAATGCGGAAACCTGTCCAACGCGGAAACAGAAAGAAAAGTCCGCTCCCTTCCGAGGGTTTCACCTGTCTGAGACGGAAAATGATTTGCCCGCTCAGCCCTGATTTGAAACAAAACTCGCGAATTTGGTTCCACCGGCTTTAAACTTAACGCTATGGCCATGCCGCTGGGCGAGGAAAGGGAGTAGGGGTGCAATTTGGGGGTAGATGTTACCCCATCATGTGAGCCCTGAGCGATGCAGATGGTCAGGGTAGTGTGGGTGTGAAATCTCACGACTTTCCGTGAGAGTGCTCGAGTAGCGAGCCACTACGGAAACTTTCCTGAGTAGCCAGAAGCCAGAGGTGTGAAATTAGATTGACCAATGCCTGCCGCCCTGATCATTCGGCCAGCCGAGAAAAGAGTTCCTCGAATCGTTGTTACATCATGGCAGTGAGGGGTGGCATTGGTGGGTGGGGCTAAGGGTGGAATCAGAGGAGATGTTCAAACGTTTCTGTTTTTAATACGACAAGCAGTGGTCCTATGAAAGGAAAGCACTGTGGCGGTAATTAGATAAGTAAGACTGACCCATGTCATTATCAGATAGGAGAGCAATTGAGAGGTGTGAAGTTTTGACCACTGCTTGCCGATCGGACAAGCGATCCCTGATCACACCGGCTGGCCCTTTGAACACCCCACCCACCAACCTCCATCTCCCCCTAAATTCCCCTGTCTAAGACGGAAAATGTCTAAGACGGAATTTTTATCTATATATATATTATATACAGGCCTGTATATAAAAATCCTCTGTCACTCGTAAAAGGGGATTGTTCACACCATTGTCAAGGAGAAAAAGTAGTCATCTCAGACAGCTCGATAGCGGAATTATTATAACAGAAATAAAAACTTTGGGGGGGGGGGGGTTACGAGGGTTGGCATGTTCAGATGTCTTCAACAGGTGGCCGTTAGAGCACATTTAACTGTGTTTGATGTTTTTATTTAAATCATTAAGCCTAATTATGGCATAATAATATGTGTGTCATGACGCAGTGGTGTCAGGCACTCATCATTTTTTAGGCTTATGGAGTTATTGGTATTATAATCTTAAAGCCTCTTTTTACCTTTGAAAATGGCATCTGTCTGTCATTGTTAGTCATCCAGTCCAGTACTTTCAACTGCAATTTCACCCACTTTTTTTTAAATATTGGTTTTCAGATTTTTGCCCCATTGCTCATACTAATAGTCCATCATGCCTAAATATTATGAAGATGTGGAGGAAACAAAGACCAAGAAGAAGTTTGCCTGTGAAGGGATTCGAGATGATCTGTTGGAGTGCCTTCTGAAGACTGACTGTGTTATGAAGGTTTGCATCAAATTTCCTTTTCGTACCGTAGATATATTTGTTGATTTTCTTTAAATGTTTAAAGCCTCTCTTTCCCTAGCCCGAAATGTGAAGTCATTCTCAGCAGGTCAATAGATTTTTACCTTTCAAATACAGTGGAACTCGGGTTCAACGAAGTCGCCGGGCCTGACCTAAATTCTCGTTGAATCCGAATGTGCGTTATAGCAAAAATGAGGTTTTTTTGGAAATAATTGCAGGCACTGAGCAAGTAATGTATAAAGAGAAGTAACAAATGGTGTCTGAAATGCGTGCATATTATGAGCTGTACAAAAAAAAGATTGATTAGTTCAAATGCTCGCCTGTACTGTGTCATCTCGATTGTTTACCAAAAAAATGTGTTTCTGTGTAGAGCCTAGCCTAGCATACGGCAACTTTAGATTCCATAGACCAGCGCACAATTCATTACGTAGATCTACGTCAAGACTAGCTTATGGCGTCGGTGGCCTAGTGGTTAGGCTCTCGGACTCGCAACCGTAAGGTCGTGGGTTCGAATCCCGTCAAGGGCCTAACGTTGTGTCCTTGGGAAAGGCACTTTACATGAATTTTCCTCACTTCACCCAGGTGGGAATGGGTACCCGGCTATAGACAGCGAAAGATCTTGTCAGTTTGTTAATGTTTGAGCGCTTAATCAGCTGCTTGCACTGTATGCTTCCCAGGAAGCTGAGAATGTTTCGGAGTGTTCTATGCAGTGGCAGTGAGTAGTGAAGGGCTCACGGGCTTGAGCCCCTAACCCCTCCCCACCCACCACCCCCCAACTCTATCCCAAAGCAAATGAAAGTTTCTCCATAATGAAATAAGCAGTTGAAACAGTTATGACCGCACGCAATGAACACAGAGTGATCAACTTGGCGGCTTGCTCGCTTATCCAATCACTGTTGTCACCGCTTACAACTATAGTAACCCAGCAGCCAATCAAATGTCTTTAGGGCTCAGCAAAGACGAGCCCTTTTCCCACAGTCCGTCCTTAATGAACTCTTCTTCTAAAAAGGTAGAAGACTGGGAAAAAATAACACTGTACCGAGGGCTCACGCTCTCCTAGCCCTGACTACGGGGTGAAAGTTTACGACACACTTTCCCCCACTGACACAGATACCTATGCGCTCATTGGTTCTTTGTTGGGTGCGTTCCACTTTCTCGACTACACGGCCTAATCCAGCTCAAAGAAATATTATGTTTAAAGTGCTGTGTGCTCATGTTTGTGTTAGTGCCGCTGAGATTTAACAGTTATAAATCAGGTCGAACAACCTGTAAGGCAACTTTTTCATCACACGAAAACTAATTAGAGGAAATTTGGAGGTGAATCAGCTTCGTCCCCACCATCAACAAGAATTTAACTAAGAACAAAGAGATGAAAAACAAAGGCAACTCTTCTCGTTTGAATGGTTCTCAAACTGACGTGGCTCATCGTGAGTATAGAAAAATCATCAATGTTTAATTCTTATTGCTTGCTATTTGGTGGTAAAGAACTGGAAGCAACCTAAGCCCCACCCAAGTTTTGGTCCACCCACCACCACTGGTTCTATGGTCTGCTGGGGTAATAATATAGTGTAAAGCGCATAGAGCCTGTTGTTGAGCAGGGATATGTGCTATACAAATGCTATTTATTATTATTATTATTATTATCATTGTAATAATGATCAGTTGCCGGGAGGGAGGGGTGGGGGAGGCTCTGACGCGTTTGTTGTGTCTGCAACGTTCCACGCCCGGACCGCTGGTGCCCCGCAACATGCACCTACAGTCACACGTGTGCAGGCCGCCCATCCAACCCCGACACACGCATGCCAACAACGCATGTGTTGGTATGAAAGAAGGCCGCTGATTTGTCTCATGCAATCGGCTAAGTGAGTAATGGATCACGATGCAAGTGCAATGGATGGTTACTGGGAATAGATAAAGTTCGTTGTGGGAGAAAAATGAGGGAAGCTACGTCGGCGGGGGCTGTTCACCCTGGAAGCGACCTCGTTGAATCCGAGCTTGCTGATTTAAGCGCTCGTTGAATCCGCGTTATTTTTATTGATTTTAAAGAAGGAAAAAAACGGGTATACATCTCCTCTCGTTGAATCCATGTTCTCATTGAGTTCTACTGTAGTTTTTGAGTAATGTTTTTCTTCTTCCTGCTCTTCCTCCTTCAGTTTTTGCATGTACACATTCTTGATATGTACTAATACGCTCACTCTTTTGCAGAGGTAGACAATTTTTTATTCTTTCATCAGCAGAATGAATTCAGAAGCACCGTTTACAAGTTTGATAAAAGGAGGCCTGTTAGTGTTTGGTTATAATTAATGTCAAATCACTCCTAAAGCGAAAATCTTGATAGAGTGACCAACCTGCTGGTAAATGTTCTCCTGTGTATGAAAATGTCTGTCATATTAGGCATAGGAAGAGTGACTTTTGTTGCTCATGGAAACTACCGATTGGCATCATGGTGAAATCGGGGGCTTGTCAAAATGATAAAAATCTATTTAAAAAACACAATTTTTTAAATTTTTTTTTGGCTCAACACCATTTATAAATATATCCTTTTCAATACTCATTTCTGTGTGGGTTTTATTGAAAATTGTTGATCAAAGTCAAAAGCACTGAAAATGTAAATTTGCAGTTTTCAAGGACACTCAAGATTTGGAAGTCACCAAACTTTGGAGGCCAATTTCTCACTATTTTTACCTCTTTCATGAGGCAGCCCCTACCTTTTTCACTAACAAGTATATCAACTTCTATCTAGGATCAATGGGATTTTTAAAAAAATAAAAAACTGTTTACCAATTTTGCTATGCTCGTGTTTTAAATTCAAAGATATGACGTGTATAAGAAAAAACTTGGGACCTAAAAATATGTTCGCTCTATGTGTATGTTTCGCCATGTGTGTGTGCTAGTCGTTTCTTAATCTGTGGTATCAATTACATTTGCTCAATAAATATTTTGTCGTCATTCAAATTCTAAATGTTGAAAAATGCTTGTGAAAGGAAACATATTGTTAAAAGAATGAAACAGTTTTTTTCTCGCCTGAAAAATTTTGGTCTCTGGTCTTATCATGCCTCCTTATGGTAGAGTGAACTGCTTTCACACAGACAATGTGGGCTGCAGCATCATTTTGTAAGGGATTTTATTCATTATATGTGACACATCGGCTGTGGCTTTGACAATTGTTATTGAATGTTTGATTTTTTGCTCAACACGTTTTAAATCTACTTAAAAACATTTCTGTGTCGACTTTACTGAAAAACGTTAATTACAAAGGTACAAAAAATGTAAATTTTCAGTTTCTAAGGACTCTAAAGCTATGGAAGTTGCCAAGCTTTGGCAGCCATTTCTCACTAATTTTACCTCTGACACCAGGCGTCCTCCAACTCCTTCAATTGCAAGTATCTCAACTTCTAACCAAGATAGATAGGTAATTTTTCATCAAAAGCACAGGAAATGAATCGACTTTAACATAATACCAAAAACTCTACATATACCAAAAAATTGATGAGTGCCTGATTCCACCTCGTCATGACACCTATTTATTCTTACTCCTTAAAATATTCCTTTTCAGGAAAAGAGAACACCCAGAGACTGCATGAGTGACCCTTCAATACCTGATGAGTGCAACAAGCTTAGAGTTGCCTTCCTTGAATGTCGGAGATCAATGGTATGGTAAACTATTTCAGTAATTTCATTCTATTTGTTCAACCTGATTATTTTTTTCTAAAGTAGACTTAGCTTTCCTTTCATCCAGTATTAAGCATGCTATGACGTTTTGGAGATTTTTCGTAAAGAGGTTCTCTGCTCTCCTAAAGGTGTTTCTTCTACCTGTTGTTGTTAACAATTATGTTCAAAAAATGATTTGTTCTTACACTACATATATAATATAAGTGTGTATATTATAATAAAGAGTTCATTTAATTGTAGAGTGGAACAGGCATAAGCTCTAGAGTCACAACTGATATTGTTAAAGTTATAAATCTTTAACATTCTTCAGCCCATCCATGCACTTTTGTGTGAACTGTAGCCTACCTGAGTGCAGGAAGGCCCTGACAAAAGTTCGAAGCCAAAGTCTCAAATATGGGAGAAGTCATGGAACAAGGGGTTGGAGTACTGGATGCGTGCATTGGTGTTGCTGGAAAAGAGAGTGTGGAATAAGAGAGGGGCAGACTGATGGGGTACTTTGTGTTTTAATGATGTCCTCTAAAGTGACATGCGCTGTGGTTTAGAGGAAATAGATAAAAGCATAAAAAAGTGAGCGGGTAACTTTGTGTTGATCAGATCATCCAGGGGTTCCTGGCGCTGACCTCAATCAGTAGCTTAGTGTCAGCCATGAAGATGTAGTCACCGTCATTCAATGTAGTCGCGTGTTAAAACACAGTATTTGGGAGAAGCAAAGTACTGTTTTATTTCAGGCAGGACATTATCTTTTAACTCTTTTCTCCTTCTCCTTCATTGCCCAAACCTGGCAGTTCTTTGACGCAGGCTCCTACACACACCTACAGACTTACAAAGCCTGCTCTACTCTGGCATTGACCAAATGACAAGGACATGTGGTTACTTGAGGGAGGCATTGCGCTGCCAAGAGCAAAATGCTCGCAGCTAAAGGGATTTGAAATAAACAACAACAAAAACTCTTTTCTTCAATGCCGGAGCCCTCTTTTGTTACAAAAATCTAAAATTTACCTTTACGTCCCTAAATTGGTAAATAAATTTTAAAAAGCGAACCTATTCCGATAGTTCTTCATTTAATGAATGAAATCCCGGTAAAGGAGACTTTTTTCGGCAAAGGAACGTGCCTGAGCCGCTCCCAGAGACTCACCGGCACAGTGATTCTGATTGCGAGCCTCTGAGAGTGGCTTGAAAGAGATAAGGAGTTAATACAAAATGTTGAACTCGTCTAAATCTGTACTTTTTTAAAAGAGGAATGAGGGAAGGACCATTTAATTTTTTCAACATTTTGACATAGTAAAAATACTGTAGAACATGATTATTGCGGCACCCGCTATAGCGGTACCATCCCTGCAGCGGGACCTTACTGGAATCCCCCTTTTTTTTTCTATGTTGACTCAATTACTTATGCTTGGATATAGCGGGGCAAGGAAAGGCCCGAACTCGAATACAGCGGGAGACGGGAGAGATCGAGCGAGCTCTAGCGGGGGGTGGGGGGCTGTAGGCGGGGTCCAAACAGGCAGTCAGCAGTGCGCATTGTGATTGGCTAGTCCAGTGATGAGTGAGGTGGGGCTGGCGGTAGGCCTAGAGAGAAATGGTTGGGAGAGACGGGCGCGTGAACCACTCCAAAAGTGATGTAGATCTATACAGTAGCGGGACTATCTCTTCAGCAGGTCCTTACCGGAGTCCCCCTTTTTTTCTCTATGCAAACTCAATTACGGAGCAAGGAAAGGCTCGAACTTGGATATAGGGGCAGACATCGAGCAAGCTCTAGCTGTGGGGAAGGAGGTTGGGGGTGGGGGTCTGTAGGCGGGATCCAAACAGGCCGTCAGAGGTGCGGCATTGTGATTGGCCAGTCCAGTGATGAGTGAGGAGGGGCAGGTGGCTGAGAGAGAGAGAGAGAGATTGTGCGGAGAGAGGTGTTACGTGGGCCACTCCAAAATTTAAAATGATGTACCATAGCCTAGACGCTCAAATCCGTATAAGAGCGTATAGGCCATAGCCATAGGCAAGGCCAAAAAGTAAAAGAAGAGGAGAGCGTGTAGTGTGTGATTCCTGATTCATTGAATTGCGATCGTTGATGCTCAGGCATACGCACGTATCCACTTCACCAGCTCTACTGTAGGACTACCGGTACGATAGGCAACACAAGCTACAAACCGAGGAAGAGATGGCTTCCAACAAAGACAAAAGGAAATGCTTCTCACTCGAATTAAAGGCTGAGATAATCTACGAAGTTGACAGGAAAAGGAACACTGACTAATCCAAAGCGCAAATTTTACTGATATGGAAGGGATGTAATCATGTGGATTTTTAGAAACTTTTGGGTAATTTCCCTTTGCATTCCTAAAGCGGGAACTCGCCTACAGCGGGATTTTTCTTCTGGATCCAAAAGTCCCGCTATAGCCGTGTTCTACTGTACTACAACAATGTTGAATGACAGCGACAAGATGATGTGAGACGTTTAAATTTGAAGTGTTTGAGCCTCACATGGGTCTGCCTTGATTTTGATTGTTTAAGGTAAGCACACTACAGTGCTTATTATTTAACCAATAATATTAGATGGGAACCTGAATGTAGTTTGGCTACAGATAGCTTCTCCTCAGGATAACATTCGAATGTCTGGACGGCAGCAAGTTACTGTCTGATAATACTGATAAAGGATAATAACAATAATGATTTTCATCATGCCAATCCCTGTGTGGGTCAAGGCTATTTGCAGTGTTCACTGCATCACTAAACTTTGATCATTCAAACTTCAAGGACCCAGAAAATTGCTCTGTGTTCAGCAGATTTCATGTTCAGCAGAATTTATGTTAAGCAGAGTGCTTGTGCTCATGAAGAGAACTTAAAAGGGGAGACAACTCTTTTCTCACTGTTCGGGCCAGCCGCTAGCCTTGTGTGGCCTGTGTGTTTTTCAGTCTTTAATAACAGCGCAGAGCCATCAATTTCTGAACATTTGAAAAAGGGAAAACCTTATTTCCAACCTGAGACAGGTACCTTGACCATATTATGTAAAGTCAATGAGGTTCAAAGAAAGTTGTAGTTGTTTTCTTGCTGGTTTTCCATGCTACTGGTACTACTAGTGTTACTCAGTTTGAGAAAAAAAATGAAGAGAGGTAACTGTAAAACACATTTCTCTGATAAAAATTGCTTCATGTGAAAAGCCATTGATAGTCATGCACATTTTTTTTTGTAAAACTTTGAATTTTGAAACTCCCAACAATTTTTTTTTAAATGTTTTTTTGGTAAGTGTTTTCCGGCGCCCCACATTATGAGCGTGCGGGACACATTAAACATTTTCAGTAGATAGGAAATTTTGAATTATGCTCGAGTGGCAGCCGAAGCCTACTCATAGATTTTAGACTACCAAGGGATCTTTTGCGGGCGCAACTTGCACTCAGGACCTCCGAGATTTTTCGCCCATGTCGTTCCTACCGGAAGATCAAGGGTGTCGCTGAAAGACAGCATTAAGACGGAGCCAAGGAGTAGCAGTAGAAAGACTGCGGAAAGATTCAGGAGCCCAGAGGAGGGGGGCAAAGGAGGTGAGGGGGTGAGGGCAGAAAGTGGAGACGAAAGTAAACGACAGAACAATACATTGCTAGAGAGCATAGATGGAAGGAGACAATTTTAGAGAAAAAATATTATCTGTCAGTACCCGGATTCGAACCCGGGACCTTTAAAAGAGAGGCGAACACCTTAACCTTTGGGCAACAAGAGCCCCCGTACTACTCATTTTGAGACAAAAACTGAAGAGAGGTACTGTAAAACATGATTTCTCTGATACAAATTGCATGATATGAAAAGCCATTGACATAATCATGCACTTTTTTTTTTTTTGTTTGGTTGTTTTTTAATTTTGAAACTCCCAACAATTTGTTTAGTTTTTTTCAAATGAGATGTTTTTCAAAGGAACCATGTTTTACAGTACTTCCATCGCTGTAGCTTGTAATCTGCTCACAGCAATTGTTCCTTGAAATGCAGACACATCTTTTTTTTTTATTTAAATAGCGAATTTTTCTCTTTTTATTCTCCAGCTGGACATGAGGACGAGGTTCAGAGGAAGAAAAGACTACTGAGCTTTTTGTTGCTTTCTTCGTCTTATTATGAGTTTGTTGGTTTGAATTGTGTTACTTGAGCGAAATGGATAACGTTTAATTTATGTACATGACGTGTGGTGGAAAATGAAATGAGTCTCGCTGGTGTATTCAAAAGTTTTGTTTCTTCTAGTGTGATCATGCTGTTTGTGGACGGGGAAAGAGTGAGTTAGACCGTGCGGTTGTTCTTCTTTTAAGCATGCTTGGGACTTTTTCTGACATTTGTCGTTGTAAGTGGATAGATGCAATGTGTTGTGCATGGGATGTTTTCTTACCCAGAATACTTTGAATAAAAAATACAAACAAATTATAGATTTCTTCTGTGGTGATATTTTTATAGTTGTGATAAAGTGAAAGATATTATGATGTGTGTGGTAAGAATGTTGAAGGAGTAGGCCTTTTTTCTTTTTCTTTTCTATTGAGAGATTGAGATCCGATGTTGTTCTCAGTAGATCTGGGATTTCTCTTCCAGCTTCCATGTCCCCCGAGAATGGAGCGCCATGTGTAGTGTCTAGCTGTCTATTGTCCATGGTAAAACTGTTGTGTTGTCGCGCCTACTTGTGTGGAATGTCGTGCACAGTGCAGACCAGTGTGGGATTTGTCTGCATAAATTTGCTATCATTTCTTATTTGTTGAGAAATAAAAGTTTGTCAATAGAAGAAGAAATTTGAGTGTGCATGTCATTATTGAAAGAAATACGTACGGTACTCATACGACCTACTTACTGACACACTTTGGCTGTCCGTTGATTTGACCATGACTAAAGGACCGTTCACAAATGACATCAGCTAAAATTTGGCCAAAAATGACCACCTCTCCCCTTGTCATCTTTCCCAGGACCCCCCCCCCATCCCTCCTTCCCACCTAGTTGACTTCAACCAAAATGCTCATGTACATTTAGATAGAACCTACAGGTACATAACGCATTTTAAACTGTATTAGTTTTAAGCCAGGAAAATTTGGCCTATAATATTTTTTTATCCTTTCCTTTCTTTTCACTTTTTTTCCAACCTTTTAGAGCATCATGGTTGACATTAACTTTGAAAGGACACCCCCGTCAACTTTTGTCAACTTTTCATTTACCCTCCAACCCCCTCTGATCTGACATCATTTGTGAACGGTTCCGTAAAGCAGTATGCATGACACAGGTTTCTGTGGTTGATAGACATACAGAAAGTAAATTACCCAAATAAACCTACAACTTCCCTCTTTTCTGATCTTGACTTCCTTGTTATGCTCCAAAGGAGAGGCATCTTCAATGCGTTTGGAATAAAGGAAGGTGTAAGGGTTTGTCTTACTATTAACACAGGTAAGATGGGGGTAATTTTTATGATGGAATTTTCTGTATTACATCGAAGTGGTGGCCTAACGGCCTACTTTTCTACAGTTTCAACCACCAAGGGATCTTTATTAACGTGGGCCAACATGCACTCTGACAGGCAGGCGCGCATACATACACACACACTCACACATACACACACACACACACACACACCTTTAATTTGTATAAATTATAGATCTACACATGTACATGTACCACAAGTTACAAATGATGTTGACACACAAAAGGAATACTTTCATACTCGTAGCTCTATTTGATGATGTAGTACTATACTCAGTGAGTGTGGTATATATTTCATTAAAGAATAATGAGTGGGTGGTTGGCGGGTACTCATGTGTGGTTTGCTCCTTCTTTTCTATCACACTTCTATTGTCCTGATCTCTCCTCCTTCTTTTTTGTACTTGTTACTCTCTTGTAACACCTCTAATCTTCGGCTCTTTTATATGACCTTATTGTGTTGCAAGTGCCGTAAAAATCTTACTAAAATAGAGTAGTGATGCAAACATTACTAGACCTTATATCAAAGTCTTGAGTTATTGTTTAACAGTAACTTTTCAAGAGTACAGACTCTCTAGTTTAAACAGAAGATCCCTGAGGTACTGCATCGCTAAAAAAAAAACCTCCTTTTCTGACACTGTTATGATGATCATTGTCAAGAATGTGAGGCCGTGGCAAAGAGTTCTTTTTTCAAATCGTCCTTGGGACTGCCAAACAATGATGTCCCCCCACACAGGCTCAAAAGTGCTAATATTCTGGATAAATCCAGGAATCCACATTTCTGAAATTATCCTCTCTTAACAGTCATCGTGCTCTCTCTCTATATATATAATATATGCGGGTGTTTTAAAATCTTTCAAAATCACTCGGGCAGAGCCTAGGATACGGAAGTCAGAAACATTCTCTGATTCCCAGGAAGCATACACAATGCAAGTGCAAGCAACTGACGAAGCACTCAAACGCTAATAAACTGACAAGATCTTTCGCTGTTAAAAGTTTAAGCCGGTTACACATTCTCACCTGGGTGAAATGAGGGAATTCGTGCTAATTGCTTGTGGGTGGTTGGTGGGTTCTCCGGTGTCGCTTGCTCCTTCTTTCCTATCATCAAATAGCTATTGTCCTTATCTCCGCTCCTTCATTTCTGTGCATATTGCTCTCTAGACACACCTCTTATCTTTAGTACTTTTAAAAGGCCAATGTCCTATTTCTGTTGAAACTGCCGTAATAAACTTGAACGTTAACTAAAACTACCATCAACTACACGCGAGGGAAATACAAAGCTATTCCATTCCCCAAAAGAAAGAAAGCCGTGTGCGCCTCTGTTGGTAAGCAAGCCCACGGTCCCGGAGGTCCGCGCAATGTCGTTCTCTCGATAGGCTCACAGAGCTTCTGTAAGTCCTGCTTCTTTGCGAAACCCGCCGCACGGTACAAGAGATGTCCCGAATCTGGAAATCAATCAAACGAATCGTCCGATCCAGCTGTGTCTGCTGCATCTGTGGGGACGATGCCATGGAGGACCAAATCCTAGAGCCGGATATCTGTGAGGAGGCTGAGGAAATCTTCTCAGGCAAGTCACAGGATCTCGGCCCCAGTGAGGACTTGGACTGGGAAATAAGACACCAAGCCCAAGACCTGGGCCGTGGCATCGACTCCTCTGTGTCCGGGGGCGATGGAGAACCGGAGAACTTATCCTCCGATTCTTCTGCTTCAGCGGACACCTACGCAGACATGAGTAACTGCTCTAGCTCGCTGGAATCCCTGGCGAGCCTAGAAGATCTGGAGCCGGATGTGGAATCCCTGTTGGAGATCTCATGGCTCTTCGAGATGATCCAACAGGACCACGGGATCGGAGACAAGCTGTACTTTCCAGCGGAACAGGAAGTAAGCAGGCCACCACGGATGGAGCCCGAGGAAGCAGACGAGATTTTGGAGTCGCTTCCGGCTCTCTTTTCTGAAGCCATCAGCTAGACGCCCGGCTCCCCCCTGCGGAGAAAACCTCCAAGATGGCCGACGTCTCCCTGGCCAACACTCAACATGTAATTAAAATAGTTTGTTAGACTAATAGGATCTTTTATAGGCAGCACTAAATACTCCATCCGGGCCAGGGAACGGAAGCTCTCTAGGGAGGACAGTCAAGCGGGGGGGATCCAGCGTCTTCAGTCGAATTTTTTTTTCATGGTCCTTTTTAGGACCACCTAAGTTTTTTCAACTTGTAAAAGGATGCACAGCTTTTATTGTCTTGATATAATATTAACAGAACAGTGTCAATACAGAACCGTCAAGCAAACAGCTAATTACAGGTGACAAGCAACAAATATGCCCAATGCATCGTGATAGGGGGTGCCCTTTGGCACGAGATCGGTTCGGTTTGGTAGGCGGGGCTAGCCACATTGGGGGCGCAAAGCGAACATCACGGCACAAACCGATCGCCCGATTCGCGGCCGAATACGGGGTGCTCATTGGGGGATCGGGTCGGGCCGTTTGCCAGCCCGACTGGTCTGTTTTCAGGCGACGAGTGGGGCGATCGCTCCCGACCCGACCCGATCCGATTCCATCCGCAATGGGACCCCGTATTTTTTTTTAAAACGCGTCTATTTTCAGGCCGCGAATAGGGCGATCGGTTGACGATCGGTTGACGATCGGTTGACGATCGGTTCGTCGATCCCCGAATGGGCATGACGAGGCAGAAGGAATAAACAGTGGCCCAGCCTCAGGCAGGTGAGGGAGACCCACAACTCTACACCTGGGGCTCGGAGGACTTGTGGCCAACCGCAGCCTTCCTACTTCACCCTGGGATGTCCATGTTTGTTTTGTTTTAGTAAGGTTATACGGCGCTCGCAACTGCATAAGGTCATATGAGCGCTAAGGGATGGAAGTCAACAGAGAAGTCAACAGAGAAGTCCAAACATGGAATCAGGCTTACTTTGCTCACCTCTCTTGCCTCAACAGCACAAAGTCTGCTATGCCCATGTTTACATTAGATTAGATAACGAGAAGATGAAGAAAACACATGTATAATAATATTTTGACCTTATTTTTTTTAACCCTTAGAATCTTTTGTTTGTAGTTTTGGTTGGAGGAGGGCTTCGTTTATTCTTGTTTTGTTCCACCACCCCCCACCCCCCACCCCCCCCCCCCTCCATTGTGCAGCCTACTTCCCGTTCAACAGCAAGCTCTATGTGCTTTGCAAACAATCTATAATATTATTACCTATCCAGACCTGATAATACTGATAGCATTGTGAAACAATGTCCACTTCCTGGGAAGAATACAGTTGAAGCTGTTACAATGTATTTTATACAGGTGTTAAAATACTAACGTGTTGGACACGAGGAGGTATAATTTCCTAATTTGTCTGGTATATCCTTCTCTGACCGAGTTGGCCCTGAAGGACAGGGCCAAAAGCCTGCCTCCTAAAAGGCCTAAGTTGTGTTGATGGCTGGTGTTTCTTGTATATTATTATTAGACTCCACACTTACTAACCAAGATTGAGTTCGTTCCGCAAGAAAGCAAAGTTGCCAACAGAAAGAAAGCGAACGAAGTCATGAAAGACCAGTACGGAGGCACATAGGAGGTAGCTGCTGACTTAAAGGGCTTCGAGAGATTCTTCCCCATCCCGACTACAAAAAAAATGCCAGACTTGGTGTTATGGGAGAAAAAAGAGAAAGAGGTGCACTTAGTGGAGCTCACGGTGCTTCATGAAGACAATATCTATGCTGCCTCACGAGGACAACATCAATGCTGCACATGAGCGGAATGAAAACCAACACGAGGCACTTGTCGAAAAATCTGAGGGAGGCAGGATGGAAAGCAACCCATTTTCCGGCAGAGGTAGGATGCAGAGGTTTCCTAGCAACTAGCGTCCGTAAGTGGATGAGAGTGGCTGGTCTTACTGCAAAGAAAAGTAACGAACTCATAAACTCCCTTCAGGAGACAGTAGAGAAAGCCAGGCACTGGATCTGGTTGAAGCGAGAGGTCAATAACTATGGACATTGACAGTCATCCCCTAGTTTTAGGTTAGCTCTACCCTTATCCCTCAACATAGCCACATGGTGGTTTTCCAGAACCCATATTATAATTGATTATTCCATCAATAATTGATTATATTATTATTATCAAAGCAAAAAAAAAAGAAAAAAAACCAAAACAACTTTGGTCACTTAAAACGACACCAGACCATTGTAAACGATAGGTTCTTGAAGGATGCGGGGCAAGAGACAGGAGAGCCATGGCCAGGCCTAGACGCAGAGTAACATGGATGGACAACATTAAAACATGGACTGGCCTGGGTATAGCAAATGTAACGACTGTGAAGGATGGGGGAGAG